AACTTGTTCGTAAAAAGAGTCAGCTCACTTTTTTTTGGTATTTCTTACAATAATATACGCTTAAAGACCATGAAGACGGCCTCGCTACATTACTTACAGGTCTTGATAGTCTATTATTTTGCCATGAAGACTGGCGTAAACAATAAACAGTTATACCTTTATTCAGTGGTGTTAGTTCATGTGACCGTGAGCACAGGTATCGTCGTCTTATATTTTATTAAAACTTTTACTTATTACTATTTAAAATTCGAATATAACTTTGTAAATAAAATTGTGCAGTTTATGTGGAATTATGTTTATGGCAGTGTATTGAAATTAAACTCAATAAAAGAGATTTAATTTATTTTACTGTTTATTATGATTCGGTTTATGAGTCAATTTGATTGCAAACTGAAGTAAAGGCGTAACGGAATGAATCAGTTAAAAATATGAAAGCAGACATCTGCTACAATGTTTTCAGCAAACATCTTTTATAGTCAGTTCTTTGATGTGTTTATTATCATCTTTAGCCTTGAAACTTCGTCTTTAATGAATGATGCTTTGCTAAATTCGTACTGAATCCTGATTTACACCTTGAATGTCTTTTGGATTACGCAAGACGTGCTCGTAAATCTTTACAGAAACTTTTGTTGCATTTCTAAATGTACCGATCTATTTCTCATAGGTACGCCCACCTCACCATATGACTTAAGCAGTTACTTCTAGAAGATATTCTTTTTTATGTGAGAAGGCGGCAAGCGAGCTGGCGGTTCACCTGATGTTAAGCGATAATGTGCGGGACATTAACATTTGCAATACCAGTAGGGTTGCAGTTGCGTTACCACCTTATAATAATGTGGGCCCCGGCTTCTCACTCACCAGTTGAAACGTAGAAGTATACTCCACTACACTTCCACTTTACGCCGGTCATTTGGAAGGTTGTGGTACTTAGCCGGCTGAACCTGCACATTCGTGCAACAGCGTAAACTGTTGCGTGGCTGTACCACTGTTTAAGCCGCAACAATTATATTCCATCAGATCTTGAATGAATATAAGTACTGTATCGTCATCATGGATAAGCCTTTAGCTAAGTGAAACTAAAACTATGTGTGACTTTTCGATCATCTTCTTATATATACGATTCTCGTGTCAAGGTGTTTGTAATTGAACTCCTCCGAAACGGATCGACCCATTTTCGTGAAATTTTGTGTGCATATCGGCCAGGGTGGAGACACATCTATTTATCACCCCCATAAATGTTATGGGTGGTCCACTCCACACATTTTTTTCTATCCTACAAATAATTTATATGGCAAAACAACGTTTGCCGGGTCAGCGGTGGTAGGGCCACGCAGTAGCCTCGGCTGTTGCACGAATGGGCAGGCTCGTCCGGGTAAGTACCACGACCTCACAGAAGACCGGCGTAAAGTGGAAGTATAATACTTTCGCGTTTCGTCGTTTCGTTTCGTGAGTGAGGTGGCCGGAGTCCAATTTCCAAAAGGTTGGACACAAATCTGGAACCCTCGAGTGTAGCGGATGTCCATGGGTGGCGGTATTCACTTAACATCAGGTGAACCGTCTGCTCGTTTCGCTTTTCACATAAAAGAAAGCTACTTACGTTATATTATATTTATTAAGAAGTGTGAAGTAACTATTTTTATACACATTTTTTACAGAAAAAATAAATTCAACGATGACGCTGTCGTAATATGTTAAGATAATTTGAATAATAGTCGACAAGTCACAAAAACACGTTCTCCTATTCATTACCATATTACCAAAACGTAACTGGTTTTAAAGCATTGGTTCTAGCTAGTCTGAATAGTGTATATTTTTGTTTTTTGTTTTCCCTTTGTGTTGGTTTCGAGGTGAATAAATCACAATGATAGTTCTTTGTCGTCGGTAGAATACTCCGGACTCAATCATATTGTTTAAGTGGTCAGGTTTCTTTATTATTTTTTACTTATATTTATGTTCTGAAATATATTGTAAATAGTTGTGAGAAGACAGCGAAGTGTTGTAAATTACTTACATAGCAACTAATATAGGAAAAATATTTTATTTAAAATGTATTTCAAGTTATTGCGGCAGGTGATTCCTGCTCCACTGGAATTTACTCCATTCTGGAGAGACAACGTCCCGCGTCGTAGAGTTCCGTGCCATTCCGTAATCAACGCATAACTTTTTACTTATTCGTTTGGTTTGACCTTAATTCGTACTTATATCTACTTGTTAATCACGAAAAAATGTAATAAGAAAATAAGAATGAAGAATGAAAATAAGATTTCTTGAATATTTTTTATGGATGGTAAGTTAGCAGACGTTTTTCTTGAACTTACTTTTTCCTGTTTAATGAGCCTAATATTTTTGGAGATCAAATAGTGAAAAGTGTATTTTAAGAATTATTTTTATGTTTACTTTACTTTATCATTTTAAAATATAATGAAATACATGTAAAGTCTGTTCACATAATGCACTTGGCAAAGATTTTTGAAGTTCTTCTTTTGGAGCGTTTGGAAAAAATTATGAGAGTAAAATTTTTACGAAACGCGCGCACACTGGCCCTCAAAAATTGTGATGAATTACAAATTCAAGAATTCGTCATGCTTTGCGAAGCAAACAACTTCACGGCATTAACATGGCAACCAATAATCCTAAGTAATTTAAATAAACCGCTATCAATTGCATTAAGTTTCTTTACGCTAAATAAGTATAACTTCTTACGTGCGTACATAAGTACACACATTATATTTTTTGTTTTTTGTATCTCCATATATTCAAATGTAGAATAACAATGACTGTACTGAAATTTTACGTACGAGGTGATCGTGTCTAAATCAAAATGTTAACATCTTAATAAATCCACCGAGCAGTTTGAAGAAAAAGAGTATCCGATAGATAGACAGAGCAGCGGGCTATTTTAGGTTAATGTCGTTCGTTCGTCTGTCCCGTGACCATGAATGCTGTGGCGTTCAAAATGTCGCGTATCTAAAAACTAATTACAATTGATAAAATTCGTAAAATAGTTTGATGGTTGATTTACTTGATTAAACAATATTTGTTACTATGTTAACTGTAAGATTGCATTACGGCAAAAACTATCAAACAGCATATTTTTACATTGAGTATGTACTTTGCTAATTGTGTGTAAAGAACGAAAATAATGAGAAACTTCAATCAATAAATAGTTCAATATATATTTTGAAGTTAGCTTCGAACAAAAAAAAATGCAAAATTGTCAGTTACTGTACGTCAATTATTAATCCCTGCTATAATTATAATTAAGATATTTATTTAAGGGCTGCATCGCCAGCGAAGCCGCGGGTAAAAGCCATTCCCTATAAAAATTAGAAGCAAGTATATGTTTAAGTAATATATAAGATATGATGGGGTTTTCGCGAATGCACGATTCAAAACCCAAATTAAATTAATAAGCAGTAAAAAAACACGATCATTGTTTGAATTAATTCTTCATGTCGACTACTGGCAGGTAGTCAAACTATGGTTAACATCATCTTTATATGTACTGGTTAGGATATAATAAAAGGAACAGATACCTGATAAGGGTAATTTTAAGAAACGTCGATCAACCCAGGACTAGAGTAGAGACTTTGATATAAAGAATATCAAAGTCTCCGAAGTACTATTTACTAAACTTTTTTTTACCTTAAGATCCTAAATGCAAGAATATAGTTGTGTTAAGATGGTTAATGCTTAATCTTCAATTATATACTTGTCTTCCAAACCCGTGGGTTCTGGCTAGCCCACCGGTTCAGCGTCAGATGAAGCTTTAATAGTCTCGGGACTGAAAGCACAAACATCAGTTAATACAAGAAATACTTGTCTTGTCTTCACAAGCGTATAACCAACGGTTACGAAAACCTAAGAAGAGATTTATTTGTAAGGCAAGTATATTCATAAATTATTATACAGTATATACATAAATAATTAAAATAATTCTGTCGGTTAACACCGATACACTATTGGAAAATTTTCTATCTCGCTGATGTACATATTATGTACTTAGATCTAAAACACAATGGAAAGGTTGCAACAAAATTAACACCCGTTATCTTTTAATAAACTATTCGTCTCGTCAGTCAGGCGACTGTTCGTGAAAACCCTAGTCAATACCATTCATTAACAACGTGGTATGTTGTGTTGATCCCACCTAGATGGAATAAATCAAGGAGAATGATGATATTTACTATCAGGCATAATAAAAAAAATTCGAGCAGTATTAACATCAAAAGATTTTTTATGGTGCCTTTTGATGTTTGGCAGATATGGTAATACACACACACGCACATCTTTCTGATTATTTTATACCCATCCATTCCATTTCCTTATTTAATATAAAAATAACAACTTCTAATATATATAATAATAAAAACTGCCGAATTGAGCTTCCTTTGTTTAAAATATTTATTTATTTTAAAAAGCATCTTAATACAATCTCAATGTGATGGTTGATTTACTTGAAAGATTTTTTGATCCTTTAATTGTTATTTCGTATAGTTTCGCCGCAAACATCCAATGGGCCCGTGGCATCCTACTAAAAAAATATGGCGTGTTGTATTAGTCGTACGATAACCTGTATCGCTTTTGAGATTATGAAAATTTAAAATAATAAGTATGTACGTTATTATCGCAAGTTCATTAGTATAGAGTTACATTATGCTGAAATGTAAGCTCTTAATGACTATCGAAAGCCCTCTTGTATAATGTGATAATCAAAAACATTTTTATAAAGATGTAAATTTTTCATCTAGTCGATGAAAAGCAAAATTTAATATATTTTTATAAAAAATATAATTATTGCTGTACACGATTTAATAATTATAGAATATTTAATTTTGATTATCTTCTTCACAAGTTAATTCTTTTAAATCAGCGGCATAATGTGGCACTATCCTAAGTAACAGATATACAACGCTTATAAATTGACGGAACACGACTTCTTCAGGCACGAAAACCTTCAGTTGGTTTCAGCGCGCGACGAATAATCAACGTCGGGCAAAATGTCCCAGAAACAGCTTTTAGCGACGATTGTGCTCTTAAGTAAATATCCTTCAATTAAATTTTTTTGATTAATTGGCAGCGCATGTAAAAGTACTACTTTATTTCAGTAACCGTTCCGTTAATATCGGGACGATGGCTCGACGTAAAACCGGGCGAGAACGAGAAGCAGCTGTTCCTGAGTCGAAGGGTCGTCACCGAGTCCAAAGAATTCGATGGTGGCGTCTTAGTCGATGAAAAGGGAGTAATCGAAGGCGTCTTAACTAGAGATGCCATTGACGCATTCCTCACCGCTAAGGACAATAACATTAAGGTAAAATTCTAACGATATTTAAAATTCTTACTTCCATACAGAGTGATGCGATTAGAAATATTTTATATATAAATTCTCGTCTATAAAAGATAGCTAATTGCTTTATGACTATTAGATTATAGATGGCGGCGACCTGGCGTTAATGGCTGGTGTGGTGGACTCGCACGTTCACGTCAATGAGCCAGGACGCACTTCCTGGGAGGGATACGTCACGGCTACGCAGGCCGGGGCTGCTGGTGGCATCACCACAATCATAGACATGCCTCTGTATACATATCTATTATTTCATCAGATTTATCATATTATTTCGCAACAACTACAAATTATATTTACAATTTCCGTTACAGTAACTCCATTCCACCGACAACAACGTTAGAAAATTTAAGAACCAAAATAGCCGCTGCGAGAGAAGAAGTTTTCGTCGATGTTGGCTTCTGGGGTGGTGTTGTTCCTGGCAACGAGGTTAATGACGTATTATCACAATTTTAATGTTTTATTAATAAGTAAATAACACCTTTCAGCTAGTTTTAGGTGTTGTTTTCCTTTTATTTATTGTTAAATATTATAATGATTATAATTAGATTTTTTTTCTAAAGTTGACAGATGGTACACCTGATGGTAATTGACTACCGCCGCCCATGGATATTAAAAACCCTGAGGAATTGCAGAAAAGTTACTAACCTGTAAAAAAGTTGGGCCCCGGTTACTTCACTCACCAAACATGAAAGTAGTACTCCTATGTTACACCGATTCTCTGTGAGGCCGTATTGCTTCTTTGAACGAACTTGCCTAAGCAGCAACAGACAGAAGTTGCTGCGTGACTCTACTACAGTAAAAATAAATATAATAATTTAGATTCAAAGGTATTTTATAATATATTTGTATTTGATTTTCTAGATGGAGTTACACGATATGATCAGAGCTGGTGTAGTAGGCTTCAAAGGCTTTTTAGCCGACAGCGGAGTCGCTGAGTTTCCAAATGTAGAACAAATCGAATTAGGAAACGTATTCGCAGTACTAAACGGTACTGGGACGGTTTTGGCGGTAAGAATGTACTAGTTGAAGCTATGCATATTTACATCAGTTTAATGAACATAAATTATTATAAAGATATCTTTCGTACAGTTCCATGCCGAGTTGGAAATTAACGAAACAACAACTGAATGTGAAGGATTCGATTGCACAAGTAAGTTTTATCGTTAATTGTGAAGTAAATAATATATTATGTCAGGATTTGTGTAGTAAACTTCAAAACATCTTAATAAGAGATGTATCCTAAAAAAACTGTTTTTCATTTTTATGTTTTAACGATTTTTCTAAAGTATTCTATATATCTAAATCATTTAATATAGTTTATATAGTATATAGTTTATATAAGTAAATAATTTCTGAAATGTTTTTTGATCAATTATTGATATTATTTACAGATCCTAATTTATACAGTACTTACCTGGCATCTCATCCACCAGAAATGGAATTAGCAGCCGTATCTTTAATAGCAAGTTACTTGCCCAAAACCGAGTTAGTATTATAATTATTGTTTTCCTTTCTTCATTATTTTAGCAATTGCTCTACTTATACTATATGGACGATATTGACATACTTCATTTTTCGTTTTGTTACACCTATTAATGTTTATTATTTATAGTGACGCAAGTTTAAATACTTTATTTCCACAAAACATTACGTTCACAATCCGTGTTTTGTAGTAAAAGAAAAGAAACTATTTTAAACTAATTTAAATCTATTTCTTATTTAGATTATCACGAAAGTAAAGGAATCTTATCGTATTCTTCTGACGAAAGGTTTGTACAAAGTTCACATTGTACGAAATTTATTTTAATAGATTGTTTATTCCACTCGTGCAGTGCTTTTGGTTCTCGGGCTTAACTTGTCTGATATTCATAATTTTTACAGTTAAACAAACGCCGCACCGGATAAAAAGATTTGTAGGATCATGCAATTATTGGCTAACCGTAAAGTCAATAAATGTCGTTCTTTAATTTAAAAATTAAAACATAGTATTTACGTCAATTTGCGCCCTACAATAATTATTGTAAAACAATATTGTAAAACATTATATAAGATGTATAAAGTAAAAGTAAAGTAACAGCCTATACATGTCCCACTGCTGGGCAAAGGCCTCCTCTATATAGAGGGTATCAGGGCATAGTCCACCACGCGGCCCCACTGCGGATTGGCGGACTTCACATATCTTCGAAATATTTTTTTTTTGTTATTATTTCGAAAATATGCACGTTTCCTCACGATGTTTTCCTTCACCGCGGAGCATGTGATAAGACAGCACTTAAAGTTAAAAACTTCATTGGTGCCGGCACAGGGGATCGAACTCAGGTTGCTCGAGTATATTGAATTAAAGGCGATCGATCGGACACTGAGCTATCACGGCTCTGATAAACTAACACTGAGCTATAAGATGTATCTGACACATTATTAATTGTATAGTGTTCATGTACACATCGTGCACGTGTCGGCCGCGGGGGTTATACCAATTCTCGAGAAAGCGAGGCTGGAGCGAATCCACGCCGGCAATAAGGGCTGGCGCGGAGGAATCACAGCTGAGACCTGTCACCACTACCTCACTCTTAGCTCCGAACAAATTCCAGCTGGCCACAGCGAGTATAAATGCTCCCCTCCTATCAGAAATAACAACAATAAGGTAACGAAAAATTATTTTACACACACAATACAGTTTTATTTTTGGGGTGTAGTGGAGTGTTCTTACCTTACGATTACCTCCACAATCTCTTCTTTAGTAGCTTCAAGAAGCTGTAGACACAGCGGCCACACCCTGGGCAACCATATCAGTGGGCTAAACCTAAAGAAGGGGACTACATCTAGGAACATCTGTAGACTAGTTAATGGATGATTCCCATTAAAAAGTCTATATCGGTATAAATCATAATTTTCAAGTACCAATGTAGTACGGTAACGTGAGAAACCTAAAGGGAAAAAAAGAAAATCCATTTAGTGACCTGCGGCCTTTTCACTGCATCCCTACCTTTGACAGTCGTACCGGTTCACCGGTCCATTGGGCCACACAGGAAGGAACGTTGCACCCGCGCAACCGCTTGTCCACTTTAAATAAGTTCTCGCGCAGATGTCCCGTCGCCGTCATCGAAATCGACGAGGAGGACTATACAGTTTTATTATCAGATGTAATGAACTGAAACGGTGTGACTCGTTTCAAAGTCGATTTTGTCATGTCTCACTTTTGTCACAAAATAGTGTTAAGAAAAACATATTTTGTTCATTATTGATTTAATCCATACTATTTTTTTAATATTATAAATGCGAAAGTAGCTCTGTCTGTCTGTCTCGCTTTCACGCCAAAACTACTGAACCGATTTAAATGAAATTTGATGCACAGATAGTCTAGAGCCTGAGAAAGGACATGGGCTATTTTTAATTAGAATAAGGGTTATAAAGGGTTCTTAAAGGGGAAAGATATTTAATTAAGGGCTTCAACGCGAGCGAAGCCGCGGGCGATAAACTAGTTGTTAATATAATGCAAGGAGCAGCAGGTTATGGATAACTAATCTGTTCGTCGGAATCCAATATTATATTAAATGAATACCAAAAATGACAGGGTTTCAAATTACTGACAACCTATAATATAATATATTATACAACCTAATATATTATATAAAACGAGCAAACATTTTCATACCAACGAGCACCATGTCATGATTTGGTATTTACTAATTAAAAAAAACTTTTTTCTTTACTCTATTAATGTAGTTATCAACGATGGTAAAAATCTTTTCAGCAACAATTGTGGGAGTACATTCGAGACCACAGACTAGATTTAGTAGCGTCGGACCATTCACCGTCAGTTGCTGCCTTAAAGTCGGCCAACTTTATGGAGTCTTGGGGTGGAATATCTTCAGTGCAATTTGGTTAGTACATACTGATATTAATGCTATCTATGATATTTGTATTAACTAATACCAATCATGGATCAATATAAAATATTATATTCTCCGTCGATTTTATATATAAATATCATTTAAAGTTTAAGTTTTGTTGTCGCATGTTTACAGTAGTTTTCTATTTTACCTAGATTTTTTACTTAGTATTGAATATTTTTAAAATTTTTTGATCAATGAATATATAATAACCCAATCCGGGTTGACTGGGAGAGAATGCCGATATGGCATTAAGTCCGCCCTTTGTAATCCTTTTTTTTAATGTTTTGCAATAAAGCATAAATAAATAAATAAATAATAATCAAAACTTAAAACAAATTAAACTGAACCAAGCGCGAACCGCACCCAGATTTGCCATTGCCTACTTAAATATTAACATCACATTACCTTTACCTCAACGTATAAGCTCAACATCGACTCATAAAGCCATATTGTATTTTAGGACTGTCTCTATTTTGGACGCAAGCTAAAGCTCGAGGATTCAAACTGGGCGATGTGAGCCACTACTTGTCAGCTGGTCCAGCTCACCTGTGCGGCTTGCACGAGAAGAAAGGCGCTATCAGGCCCGGCCTTGACGCTGATCTCATCTTTTTCGACCCCAACGCTTCGTTCGTCGTTACGCCTGATATCATTTTGTACAAAAACAAGGTAAATCTGAGTAAATTGAATGTATAGATCTATTATACCGGTTAGGCATATATATATATATATATATATATATATATATATAGAATATATATATATATATATATATATATATATATAGAATGCCTACGTTTCGCATTTAAGAATACTAACTAACCCGAGATTTATTTGTTTTTAGATAAGCCCATATATGAATAGAGTATTGAATGGAAAAGTTATCCAGACGTACCTAAGAGGTCAGCTCATTTACTCCGAAGGACAAATAATTGGCGGACCCAAAGGGAAATTGATACTCAAAGATGGTTTTTAATTACTATGTTTTTATGTAATGTGTGAGTGTTATTATTAATGTTGTTAACTTGTCTGTGTGTGTTTCATTTTTGTGAGTGCTGTATCATTTTATTTATGTCCACATCTTTTGTCTAACAAAACGAGTCGAATACTAAAAAGGTCTTAATTTAATGAATTAATTAACGCTATTATATTTTGTTTTTAATGTTTACTACATCTATTACAATAAACGCACCCTAACAAATTCTCACAGTTTTATGACAATATTCTAATAAAACAGACAAAAGAAGCATATATTTATATACATGCTTTTTTGTTTGTTTTATTTCAATTTCCAAATAGGCTATACTAAATGTCACATAGCACGCACAGGAATTACTTTTATATGACATATTATTAAGAGTTTTTTTTAATAAAAACAGTGGAACGAATAAGGAAAATTATAGGTATATAGGTACTGACCACCCTATCTATTGCGCTAGGATTCTATGAGCTTGTCCTTTATATTTTTATTCATTTGCTTATCATTATAATAATAACAACGTTAAATGTTACTGCTTACCTAAGCCCTTTTTTCCTTCAGAAATAAACAGAACGCTATGTAAAAGCACCAAGAAGTATTACGATGATGTTGGAAACTTGAATGCTTATCAAAAATCAAAAATTGATTTGGAATTGCCAAATGATATTAACGATGCGCAAAATGAAACAAGTGAAAATGTAACGTGTAAAAATATATCCTGTATTGAAACAAGTCACCTTAGAAGAAACGACAATCACAGAGCTAGCGGCGGGCATAGTTCTCATTTATTTCAAACTTTAATTTTAATATTTTTCCTTCAAAGCGTGTTATTGAAGTTGAATTGGTATAATTAATACAATTTGTTTTAATACTACAATAAAACCGTTTTGAAAAATGTTATCTGTTTGTGATGTTTTCTTTATTATTTATAAAAAGTTCTCTCTCTCTCTCTCTCTCTCTCTCTCTCTCTATCTCTTTCTCTTAATTTTATTATTTTTAGCGTTACTGGATACCAGTTTTTTACTTTGGTCGGCGAAATTATCCGATTAAAAAGCAACGTACGCGGATATCGTGTGGCGGGTGCGAATCGGGGACCTCTCATTCGCCGGTGAACGAGTTGGTACCTGGTGTGTGTAAAGCTTCAGTCAAACATAGCCAATACTCGTATGAGTATTTTCTGTGTTTATCCCAGAATCTGACATTTATGAACCGATTTTAAAAATAATTTTTGCATTGAGATTAACTTTCAAAAAGGAAAAGGTAAAATTGAGATAGGAATAAGTATGGAAGTGGTTGGGAAGTACAGCCCTTTCTGCCCTAACTCAAGGGAAGTGTTTATAATAAAAATACACCTAGAAGACGATAATCTTATCGGATCTACTCCCTCGTTTCAATACACATCCCCAGCCTTTACCTAATTGTCAGTATAGCTTCTTTAATCTTATCCTCGTCAATTGGATAAAAATGAACAATAACACAAATAAACGTGCACGAGTGGGTTAGAAGCCATGCTGTACTGAGCATGGTCTATAAGACCCATTCAGAACAGAGATAAAATGTTTGTTAATATCGTCGGTAGAACCGGAAAGACCACATCACCAGATAAATTAACGATACAGAAACAGTCAAAAAGTTTCTACACCATTCTCCCTCCATTTCGGAATAAAATTTATCGATATTAAAAATATAATCCAAGTTAGTATCCGGAGTTTTGATTTTTCAAAAACATTTAGACAAAAACATTGAAGCTTTTTAAAAAAAAAACCTATTGGCTAGACAAAGTTATTTATAAATCAAAATAGTTAATGATAGAATAAACTTACGTAAAAAAAAGGTTGTGTGTACTTATGGAAGCACGTAAGAAATTATACTTCCAAAGAAGTAACAAAAGAAAAATAACTAAACAATTTTTCCTCTGGATCAGTGCGACACAGGGGTAAAAAGAACTTTCTTTGTAAAAAACACATTTAATACAATTGATAACGGTTTAATATAACTTGGAACTATAGGTAAATTTCAAAAAGTTGTTATTGATTGCTATGGTATAACCATGAAGTTGATAAAGTTGGTGTATCTCATCATATTGCTTTTTGCGTGTGCGCGCGCATCGTAAAAATTGTACTCTCATTATTTTTCCAAACGCCCCCAATTTTTGATGAATCTATTTCTGAATATATTAATAATTCAATTACTAAATTTCAAAATTCTGCTGACCGTCTCCTTGAAATCAGTCTACATTATCACTTTGCATACCTACCCATCCGTTATGGTGGTTTAGGGATTTCCAAAATTTCCAGTGTCGCTTTACCGGCCTTCCTATCTTCTGTCCATAGTTCAGCAAATCTCATAAGTAAAATTTTAAGGGCATCCCCTACAAACTTTGAGATTGCTGGCTTGGAAGAAGCTAGAAAGGCTTTCTTAATTGAATGCCCAAGTCAAAATGTTCCAGTTTTTCCAAATTCACAGAGGAGCTGGGACGACATAAATTACAAATCGACTTATGACAATCTTTTGAGCTGTAGTACAGGTTCGGCGCGCGGCTACTGGCTTCACGCGTACCCTCCGTCAAATACAGGAACAATTCTTGAGCCTGACATGCTCCGAATCGCAACCTGTCTACGACTTGGGGTTTCGGTCTGCGCTCCTCATAAATAGCCCTGTGGCAGTGATGTCGACAAGTTAGGACATCACAGACTGTCATGCCAAAAAAGTGCAGGCAGCTTCTCGAGACATGCTGCACTTAACGATATCATACGCCGGTCCCTTGCCACCGTCAACGTGCCAAGTCTACTTGAGACGACTGGTATTGCAAGAGACGATGGCAAGAGATCGGATGGTCTGTGTTTGATTCTATGGAAGTTGGGCCAGGTGCTGGTATGGGATGCAACCTGTTCAGACATGCTGGCCCGTACCCACCTACATGGAATCAACAACAGGGCTGGTGCGGCTTGTGAAACGGCTGAAAAAGCTAAAACTTGCAAATACAGGGGTCTAGGCTCCGAATATGATTTTGTCCCATTCGGTATCGAGACCCTTGATCCGTGGGGTTCTAGCGCTATTAGGCTTTTTAAGGAAATAGCAAAAAGGTTAGTCGACATCACAGGAGGCCGAAGAGCTGGCAGCTACCTCGGACAAAGAATTAGTCTAGCTAGTCAAAGGGGAACGTCGCTAGTATCTTCGGAACCTGGCCTAAAAGGACTCCTAATGACATATTTTAGTTATTATATTATATTTTTTTAAGGTTTTTAGTTTTATGTTCATTATTCTATTATTTATTTTTTATTTGTTTATCATTTGAATGTTAGATAAAAATAAGACGAAGACAAAATCAGGTAATTTTTTTCTACAAGCAAACAATACAATAATTTGTGAAAACTACACACATAATATTTTTTTATTTACATTACAATCACAGCATAATACAATACGATTTGTTTCGACAATATCGATGATTGTCTATATCTCCGGTCACTATTATTACTGTACAGCACTGCACTTGACATAATGAGAAATGACTTTGACATTTAGTTTAGGGATCGCAAGTAATTGAATATATCGATATACATCGACATGTTAAAAAAGAATCGATAATTATCGAGCAGAAAATATCGGTATATCATCATTTTTCACATGACTATGCATACATAGTTTCAAATCATTCGAATAAATAAAATATATATAATAGATATGAAGAAAATAGTTGAAAAGAGTTTTAAAGTTAACGATGCGCGAGGAGCATGGAAAGAGTATCTAGTAACATTAAAAACGAAACCAGACTTGCGTTAAAAATATATCGAAATTGACACGAATCGATAGTCTGAAATAAATGTCAAATATCAATATATCGCGATAAAAATATTGACGATATATATCGATAATTGTATGGAAAAATATCAATATTTTTATCTATCGATATTTTTTGCCCATGCCTAATTTACTTTGACAGAAGATTGTTGACCGTTTTTATTTTAAATAACACTCGAAGCTAAAATTTATTTCATTGAAGTTATACCGTTGAATGTTGTTTAGATTTATAATATTCATGTTCTCTTCATGTATCTGTATCTACATATAAACATGAGGTCTTAGAAACATATTTCACAAATAAAAAAGGAGTTAGGTGATATATTATTTTGACTGTGACAATTAGTGATAGAGAGAACAGTTTTGACAGTAAGAATGAGCAAGAGCATAACCTCTTGTCTTATATTTTAGGTAGGCAAAAACTTTAAGCTTACAAATGATGTTTTTAGATGCCCAGTGTAAAAAATAGCGTTGAAGGATCTCGGCAACCAAACGGCAGCAATATGCAATTGGAGTGTTTAGAATTAGCTGGGTGCACCCTCGACCGGTATATTATTGTGGATAATTCCCGCCCTTCGTTTTTAGAGGTTTGTCTTTTCAATAATTTATGATTTATATATAATATTAAACTTCTTGCGGTTTTTAAAAACTAGAAAAAGGAACAAATATTCTATTAAAAATATCTTTTGGTTAAGCTTTAACAAACACACAATATAAGTTGTTATTTACAAATGTTTCCTTTATTAATAATGTGATGGAACTCTGCATGTTAATATTTTACCATGAAAAATGTAATTACTCGACCTATTATTATCCTTTTAATTTTGTAGATAACTGGTATAGCAGCTCAAAGGAGTCCAACATGCAGTGGCTTAAATGCTGGAGACTACAGAAATCTTGCAGCAATTCTCAACCACCCTAATTTATCACAACTAAAAATATTAAACAAGGTGCCATTACCACCTGAAATTATGGAACATTTTGCCCGTATCCTTTTAAAAATTTATATGCAATTAACAAAATATTAAAGATTTTCATATATTGTAGAACGTTGAACATATTTTTTTTTGTATGTCAAAAATGTTATCATTTTTCTGTATGTAGTCTTAATTTTCCTTATAAGTTCAAATCAGATATGCAATGCCACTGTTTAATGGGAGTTTTTCCAGAGATAAGTAGAGTATGGTTGGCAATAGATAGCAATATTTATGTGTGGGCATTTGAACATGGTAGTGATGTGGCCTATTTTGATGGCTTGGGAGAGACCATTGTCAGCGTTGGTTTAGTAAAGCCAAGATCGGGTGTATTTCAAAACTTTGTCAAGTATTTGCTTGTTTTAACAACAACAGTGGAAATAGTGGTTTTAGGTAAGAATGTCTTTATATAATGAAATAAAATATGCAAATTTAATTGTTTTTTCTTCAGTACAAAATAATATAACAATCACAATATGAAAGTTCTATTTTTTTTTTAATTGTGTCAAGTATTTGCTTGTTTTAACAATAATAAAAGTAAATATGTTAATTCAATTCTTCTTTTCTTAAGTAGTCACAATATAAAAGCTTCCAACCCTCCTCACAAGAAGAATTGCACAATTCTTCTTGTGAGGAGGGACATCAACTTTGCACATTTCTAATAAGCTCTTTTCACAAAAGCTCAATTGGCTATGATTAGGGCTCTGAGGGGCCAGATCCGGTTTTGAACTGCTCTTCTATTTCTTTATGTTGTAAATAACCCCTGCATAATTTTAGTGATTCCTCTTTCCATATTGTAATGGTTCCTTTGATTCATACCGAATCTTCCATATCATGACCCAAGACGCATTCGCAGACCATTATAGAATTAATAATAATATTATACATTAGAATAGCTCACAGATGGCAGAATTATTTCCTATTTACCTACTTGACACTTATCATTATATTTTGGACAATTCACATAATATCTTTATTAATTATAGCCTATATGTTATTATGATGTATTAGCTATATTATTGTAAAGTTACATTAAAATCCATTCAGTCGTTTTTGCATGAAAGAGTAACAACATCCATCCATAAATACAAACTTTCGCATTGATAATATTCGTAAGGATAATTTATGTTAAGTGTTTTCTCAATTCTGATACAGAAATATCTGTTTCAATACAGATAATTTATATTTAAATAATATATAATAATAAATTTTTGTGTCCCATATTAATCTTAATTTTTTCCACAGGTGTTACATTTTCTGCTAGTAAAAATGATGGCGCTGGAGAGTTTGAAGAAATACATTTAGTACCAGAACCAGTGTTTGTCTTACCAACTGATGGCATATCAATGATGTGTGTAAAGTCAACAGCAAATGGCCGTATATTTATGGGTGGAAAGGATGGGTGCCTTTATGAAATAACATATCAGGTACAACAGAACACCATGAGACTTAATTTTAAAAATTTTGCATAATTGACAAAAAAAATTATTTAAATGATATTTTCCAGGCTCAGCTTGGATGGTTTGGCAAACATTGCAAGAAAATCAATCATTCTACTAGTGCCCTTTCATTTTTGGTACCTTCATTTCTTAATGCCGCGTTATATGATGAAGATCCAATTGTTAAAATTGAAGTGGATAATTCAAGACACATCTTATATACATTAAGTGAAAAGGGGTGTATTGAAGTTTTTGATTTAGGAAGTGATGGAGAAAGCATTAGTAGGGTTGTGAGATTAACACAGGGAAAAATTGTGTCTTGTGCTGTAGACATTGTTAAGTAAGTGAAATAATTTAATACTTGCTAAAATTAAGAAAAGGTTCTTTCTTTTGCTGTTATGTAAGGCAAAAATTTCTGCTAAATTCAAAGTCTATATATTGTCATAATAGTCATCATAATTTAATATCATACATTTTTTACAGAACATTAGAATCCAATAACTTTAAACCTGTTATTGCAATATCAGCTGTGGAAGATTCTGAATCAGAGCATTTAAATCTAGTGGCTGTAACTCAAACTGGTGCAAGGCTCTATTTTAGTACGGGAAGTGGAGAGTAAGTAAAATATTAAATTAAAGAAATGGCTACATTAATTACCTTAAGAATGTATAAATAGGTACATCTTTAGACCTTGTGACATAACTTTAATAATATAACTTAAAACATTTGTTACTACACTTTGTAAATAATAAAATTTGTGTACTATAACTTTATATAATAAACATGATTACAAATATAATTTTTTATTAATTACAGTGCAAACCAAAGTGGACCACAAAGACCCCAATATCTCACATTACTCCATGTTCGCTTGCCACCAGGATTTACCCCTAATTCATCAGTTTTGAGACCAAAACAAGTGCACAGTGCAGTATATGAGAATGGTACATTATAATGCTTGTTCTATTATTGACTCTTTTCAGTATATGGAAGAAATTTTAATAAAATTATTTTTTTTTGCTATCCTAAATAATCAGGTTCTTTGGTAATGGTGTGTTCGTCGGGTGGAGGGGGTGAAGCAGAAACTCTGTGGTGTTTGTCAAGAGTCCTACCTGGTATGGGATTTAGTGAAGCTCATACTGTACTAGCATTGGATGGACCAGCGTGGGCACTCACTGCGCTTCCGCCACAGCAAGCTACTCAACTTTCGCCTGCAGTACTATCTAAAAGAGGTTAAATGTTGTTTATATTCTTTTTTTACATTAAATCAATTCAGTAAAACATATTCATTCTCCAATTGTGACCTCAATATAAAGTTTGACAGTCTTTTCATCATTACATTCATGCAATACCACAAACTGCATTGGTTAAAAATTACTCCATTCAAAACTATGAACAACATGTATTTACCATTATTTTCATTAGCAAACTATCATCATCATTCTGCTGCTCTTATCTCATCTAGGTGGGGTTGGCACAACATGTGAATCATGTTGTAAGTGGTTTGGGCTATGTTTATTCCGACCATCCACCTGCCAGACGTCGACCCTCCTTGGGAAGCAAACATCCAGATCCGGAACAATAATCTGTGGGTTACACAAATACTTGTCCCGTGTGGGAATCGAACCCACGACCCCAGACGCCAAAGTCAATAGCTTAGCAACTAAAACTGAGAACAACAATACTTGAGAGAGAAAGTCTTTAAAGAAAAATGGTACACATAAATATCGGCTGTTTCTTTAGTATGTGAAAAGAGTGGATGATTGCTCACGCAGAGGTTTGGTCGTGGTCGAGATGGGCGGTGGTGACGGGAGGGGGCGCGGCGGTGCTTGCTGCAGGCGCGGCTCCAGAGTTGCTTCGAACGCTGCTCCGAGACTGCCGCGGTCCTGACGCCCAGCCCGTCAAGGACTTCTTCCAGGTACAGCTTATTCAATGTTTCGTCCAACCTGGCGTTAGTTGAGTCAATAGCGGCTTACGGCCGGTTTAAATGCTCTGGATGGATAGGTATTTCATCCTTACTTCGTCAAAATTCTATCTCAAGTAACCAAATCTATCTGTAGATTGAAAATTGAACTGGCCTTTAGTGAGCTAGTGTCGATACATGGCGGTGTGTATGGGCACTTATTTTATTTTCGGTGAGTGACCAAATACTAAGTAACAAATAATAAGAGCCGTGATAGTTCAGTATCTGGGCGCTCGCTCTTTAGCAATCTGAGTTCGAATTCCGGAGCCGACACCAATGAAATTGTTAATTTTGTGTTGATTTATCACTTATCACATACTCAGCGGTGAAGGAAAATATCGGACAGAAAACTGCATATTTTCGAAATAATAACAAAAAGATGTTTAGAAGATATGTTCTTCAAACCATAGTGGGGTCCCAGGATGGTCCCTAATATTCTTCGTACTGAGGCCCTTACCCAACAGTGGGACATGTATAGGCTGTTCAATGGCCATTTTCATACCGAATCTAGATGGCCCTTAGTTTATATTTTATATTATATTTTATAATAAAAACCTTTGCAGCATTGTTATTTTTATTGTTACATTGTTTAATCTATTTTCAGTTGCATAGTATCGAACAGGCGTGCGCATGTGCCTTATACTTGGCTTGCGAAGAGATTACTAGTGGCGATTTGTCAGTGAGCGAGTGGGCTACACGCGCTTTCTTCTTGTATGGCAGCCAGCTTACACCTGCTCCGATATATCAACAGAATTCTCAAATGCCTTCAAGTATAGGTTGGTTAAGTTTGAAAAATATCAGTATAACACCTGCCTGAAATTTTATAATATGGTACTATTGTAATTAGCTACTGTTTGCTTTGGGAGTGATGCATGTCTAAAAATTCTAAAATAACAAAGTAAACAAGATGGTTTAAGACCAAAAATAGAGAGTAATCATTTTGGAGTTTAAAAATTGGCAATATATGTTGCTAATTTCTGGAGGTTACCTTCAAAGAGATCATATGATCATCTAAATCCAGTTGTTTTCGGTATTTTAGTAAAATTTACATTACGTCTCGATTAATTAGAGCTTAACCTTACAGGTTCTCCAAAATTTTCTCCACGTCAAATGTCCACTCCAATGACTATCAGAGGAAATCAAGAGCAAGTGAGGGGTGGTCAAATGAACCAATCTTACCAACATACCCCATTGAACCAGTCTGTTGGCGGTGCACCAAACCAGTCTATGATGCCTCAGTCACCATTTCAACCAAATGCTATGAGTTCGACCGCCTTTAATCAATCTTCATTTATGGGAAATGTGACGCAACATCAAAGGGATCCCAATTTTCCAATACAAGTTGAATACAGTGCTAAACATAATGGTCTATACATCTATGTTGGGAGGATACTTTCACCCATTTGGAACTTGAAGTGTGTTTCCAATTCCCTAACGCCCGACAAAAAAGAGTTCGTAAGTACATTGTTACGCTAATTTTCGTTAGAATAAAATGAATGACAAGAATTAAGAATAAGGGATAATGGCAGTTATGCAGATCATTATGTAATTGACTGACCTAATTTTAAAAGTAACCTATGGCGTAACTTTTATCTGACATTAAAAATATCGATCAAACATAAAAATGTCTTGTAATATTTATTTTATTATATTATTAAACAAGTATTTTCCTTATTATTATATTCCTTTAAAAGTCATAACCATTAAATTCTTGTGTTTTGTTCCAGATGACGAGTAGGGTAACGGGTGAAGACTGCGCTTACGTTGTGAAAAAATTGCAGCGTGTTGCGGCTTTCCTACAGCGCCCAGTCGCGCCACCACATTCCGAAGAGCATGCGTCCTTGCACGCATTGAAGCTATTTATAAGTATGGCATACACACTAAAACAATTTTTTCAAATTAGATTAAAAATTAATAATTGCTGTTCTCAAGACTAGACAAGAGATAGCCTTAAATTTTTATGTTAAGTTTTTATAGTGCTAATCTCTGCACTTCGATATTTTTTGCTGTAGAACATAACAATAGATTCGCATTGTAAGCACTGCTCAACAAGCGAAAAAACAATGTTGAGATTTCCTTCAGTGTGCCAATCAGCCGTTTATCTTAATATATTAAGCTTCTAGGCGCAAATTTTTACATTTTAAAGGTTTTAAATATAAGTTGAATTACAACATAATTTGGTAAGGATATTAAAATATGTCATGATATTTCTTTAACAATAATCTAGTATCAAAAGACATTTAATTTCAATTAGAGATTCCTTTACTATTTAGGTAGTCATGAGAACTTAATTTTATAATTTTTTTAGATATGGCGATTGAGATGTTGAGTCTTTGGAAAGTGCTCTGTGAACATCAATTCCATGTCATCGCTGCAAGCCTCCCTCCTGATCAGCAGAGTGCTCTACAAGCTGCCAGTTTCAGGTTTATAAATAATTAAATAAATATTTTGGGACTTATTTTTACACAATGTTCTATAGCCCCAAACTAAGCAATGCTTGTACTATGGTAACTTAATCACAGATAAACATGCTTTTCTTATTTTTTTAGAGAACTCTTGGTCGGAGGCCAAGAGGTAGCATGCCTGCTGCTGGGCTCACTAGTAGCCGGATACTTACGTGATAACGCTTCCGTAGATGGTATTTCCCAAAAGTTACGTCAGCTGTGCCCTACACTATATAGGCAAGAAGATGCTACATGTTCTAAGGTACATGAGTGTTATTAGTAAATAAGCTTATTTTGCAAGCCATAAGTGAAAACTGTAAGGGTAATTCAAGAATTTTTATTAAACTATAATATTATATTTTATGTTAATGTTGTTAAAAATAATATAATATAGAAAATATTGTAGGAAAAAAAATAAAGCAAAAGGTAGGTATACTTTCAACGTGGGGTGATAATTTTAATTGGTATTCATATTTTGCAGGCTAATGAGTTATTGATATTTGCTAAACAGCAAAAGAATCCAGCTGAAAGGGAAGAAATGCTTCAGCATGCTCTGAAATTATGCAAGGTAATTCGGACTTAATACATACTGATTTCATTTAAAACATTGATAGGCATAATATATTAAAAGATGTTTCCCCATTCCCATCCAGGATGTAGCACCAAATGTGAATTTGCCATTGGTCTGCTCAAAGCTAATATCTGTTGGGTTTTACTCTGGAGTAGTTGAACTTTGTGTGGCCTGCGCCAGCAAAATGGATTCTCAGGACAAAGCCATACACTATTACAAGAGTGACCAGCCTTCACAGGACAGGGAAGGTCATCTTGCTTATTATAGAAGGTAATTGCAGAGTTAAACTTTATAAAATGTGTTTAGTTTAACTGTAGTATGGCCATGCAGTCCAGTCTCATAGAACATCAAAACGAAGTGATAGTATTATACTTTTCACTTTCATCTAGTAAATGAGCAAGACTGTAGCCCAATACTACCTACTTATGTCTACCACCAAGTTTTAACTCACATCAAATTATATCATTAAATATATTCTTTATTAATGATCTTCCGGGATAGAATGGAGATATATCGCGAAGTGTGTGGGGCATTAGAACGTTTATATGAGCGAAGTTCTGAAACCACCAGCAATGACATTTCTCCCTTACGTTCCAACGCTTCTACAGCTGATGCTACGCTGACTTTATCGCCAGCTGACGCCAATTATCAGGTAAGGCTGCTTATCTTAGTTGTGATTAGATAAGCTTTTGTGGAGTGTGAATGTTTAAAGGTGTGTGATTACATTTAAACTGGCCTAGTTGAGAAATTGCTAAAAATCACAAATCCTAGCAAAATAAATAACACAACATAGTAATTTTAATGAAAAAAATGGTTGGGCTTGGCATTGTATAATATCTTCAATTAAAAGTAATAACACTATTACTATAAGTCTTTATGATATGCACTTTTTGCATGGATGGAAATAAAATTAAGTAATTTAAGTTATGACCATATAACCTGGGATTGTCCAGTGAACACATTTATTTTTATATTCTTGCTATTAAATTTTTTAAGCTAAGTACATAATTACTTTAGCTGGAATTATATCAACAAAAAATTTTGTTAATCATAAACATATAGTGAAATGATAGTCCTCTCTGATAACGCCGTTTCAGCTAAAAAAGTAATTTTGTATATAGCTTATTTTTTTCCATTCCTAGGGAAGAAAGCTGGTTTGGGAATGTTTGTCACGAGAAGACGAACTTCTTCATGTAGCTGTTTATGAGTGGCTAGTCTCCAAAAATTTGGGTTCAGGTGGGTTTATCATATATACCACCAGACTTTTCCAAACGTGCTTAAAGATAGTAAAAGTAAATTTATTAAACGCCTTGCTAAAATAAGGTCTACCTAATGTTGCAATGTTATTCCACTACAAGAAGGTCAAAATTGAGTCTATTTTCTGAATTTTAACTGTTGGCTTAACTGGTTTGATTGTGCTAGTTATTGATCTTTACGTTTTAAATGTCAATGTTTGAAATGTTTAAAGAATTTGTTTATCGTGTTATTTAAAAAAAAAACATTGCCCTCACTTTAGGATAATATTATCCTGTGTTGCAAGGCCGTTTTACATATATAAATTTCACGTGGACAAACACCCAGATGTGAAACAACTACCTGCGGGTCACACAAATAGTTGTTCCATGTGGGAATCAAACCCTGACGCCGAAGCCAATACCTTGACGACTGCGCCACGGAGTCACCAAAATTTATACCATCAAGCAATAAATTGGAAATTCAGTTTTTGTAGATTCTCTTTCTGTCTTTAAACAAGTAAACCACTAAGCTTTTTAATCTGTCTATTATAGAGTTGATATCTCTGGGCGCATCGCCGCCGCCATCGCTGCGCACATACTTGCAGCGTGCCGCTCGAGCCGCTTCGCCGCCGGTTGCCCTGCAACTATTGGACCTGCTCTGGAAAGTTCTCGAGCGCGCTGGAGAACACCTTGCTGCAGCCGAAGTGCTTGAAGGACTTGCTACTAGACCAGGGTAAGTTCTGTTCTATTATGTTCTAATGCTATAATATGTATATTTATATATTAATACAAACTTAATTGAGTTTCAAAGGACATAAAACGATATAAAACGATTTTTTTATATACATATTTTTACCGTTTCATTATTTAATAAAACATTTTGTATACTGTGCGGATAGCGATAGATAGATATGAGTGGATAATGGATTTTGCTATTTTCCAAATGAGCAGGAATGTCGAAGGGGTCATGTTCACGCTGGTCTTCTACGGCCTCTTAGAAGACCAGCCTGAACTAGAAGTATTATATTTGTTCTTTTCGTCTACTGCGTGAGATATCAGATAGAGAGACTACGGGCGCACTGTTTTTAAAGGTTGGCAACGAATTTGCAATCCTTCCGGAGTCGTTTTCCGTGTTTTCATGGTGGTAACAACTATACAAGTGGAACGCTTAGTGTTAGCTTACAAACTTTTCAACTTAAAAAAAAAACAGATCGGGCGCGACGCTGAGCCAGCGCATGGCGTGGCTGTCGGCGGGCGTGGTGTGCGTGAGGGGCGCGGGGGCGGCGGGCGGCGGGGGTGGCGGCGGCGAGCTGCTGCGCCGGCTCGAGGAGGCGAGCGAGGTGGCGCGAGTGCAGGCGGCCGTGCGAGCGGCGGCCGCCGCCAAGCGCCCGCCCCCGCCCCACCACCTGCTGCGGCGCCTCGACGACGAGCTGCTGGAGATCACTCAGGTGCGGCCCTAGTATGATCCTTAGTATGATCCTAGTATGGCCCTTATACCTATACATGTATGATCACTCCGTGAGATCGGGCAAAGTAGAGATTAAGCAGGAAAGCAGACCCTGGCAATTTCTGGGATAAATGCTAGGTAGAAGAAAATTTATGATCATTCCGTGGCGCAGTTGCCAAGGTATCGGCTTCGGCACCTTGGTAGGTGCAATTCTCACACGAGACAACTATTTGTGTGAACCACGGATAATTGTCTCGGATCGGTGAAATTCATGTATGAAAACAGTTACAAAAACGGAATAATTATAGTAAGGGGCAATGTTTCGGAGGGAAGACTACAATAGATCTTCTAGACCGTAGTGGTCATTGGAACTTACTACCGAACCATAAAATTTTGTGTATATTTCTAAATGAAAGCTAAAAAAAATTAAGTAACAATTTTCAATAATTTCATTTACTTTTTATATTCGCTACAAATTTCAAAAAGTTATCTGTAAGCAGTTCTCTAATTAAAATTTGTAGAAAAAATACGAGAAGACTCGCAACGACGAAAATCTTAACTCTTTAATCTACATTGTGTTTTAGCATTTGAAGAAATGCTAGGCGCGTCCATTGTTATATCCTTTCCGGCATACAACTTCGAATATCGTTTTACAACGATAATTCGAACTAGAGATGTCGCCATTGCTTTTAAGAAATTAAAATTTTTGTAGTGCTAATGAATGCACTTAAGATTTGTAAAAAATGTAATTTTTCTACATATTATGTGCAGAGATTAGCATTATAAAAAGTTCTCTAATATTAAAAACAATATGGTAATCTGTTTTAACCTTTGTATATTTTTTCACAGCTCTACGAGGAGTATGCAGACCGTTATAACCTCTGGGAATGCAAGCTAGCAATAGTCCAATGTTCTGGGCATAATGATGCTCTCCTTGTTGAGAATATTTGGAGCAACATCCTGGCTGAAGCTGAGGCACTTGGTAGAAACCTACATACCCCAGATGAAAGACTTGCCTCTGTACTTAGTAAACTAACAACCTTGGGGAGAGAGTATGTTAATACCGGACATTGCTTCCCACTGTGTGAGTATCAATTTGCCATAGTTGACATACTCTTATATTAACGAAAATTTACTAGTTATTGAAAGTATGAAAATTCAAAACTGTATCGTTTTCAGATTTTATTGTCAGGCAGTTAGAAATAATGAGCTGCAAAATGCAAGCAGAGAAGAGTATGGTGTTCAAAGCAGTTTTGAATATAGGTGTGTCATTAGAACAAGTGCTTGATATTTATATAAAGTGAGTATGGTTTTCTATTGTCGATATTAAATGTCTCATTCTATACCTACAGTATCAGTCTTATAGCAGGCGAAAAAGTATGGGGATGTTATTTTGTCGCTGTGTATAAATATTTATATATATATAATAGAATTAAATAAATATGTTTCTGACTAATTTCAATTGTTTAAATGTCTTTTTAACATGTTTTCTGTCTTTGTATGATGTCTTTTTATAAATTTTTATCCAATTTTATAAACCATAGGAAAGGTAGGTCCAGCTCGGCTAAGGCTAGGTAGTTGTATAGTTAATGTACATATCGAAATAAAATTCATAGCTGTTATGACTCATCCCTTATATTAGTGGTGTCAATATGGCCCTCGGTTACGATTTTAGGTTGGTGAGCGTGAACGAGCGCGTGTGGCTTGGCTGCGGTGACGAGTCGCACGTGTGCGCCGCGGCGGCGTTGCTCTTGGATGCAGCGCGGGGCGACGTTGCCGCTCTGGCACCGGCGCCGCGCCGTCGCGCGTTAGCCCGCTGCAAGGACCTGCACGAGGCCGCGCTATCCGCGCTGCAGGTGAGCCTCGAACACGCCACTACCACTACCACTCCACTACACACAACTTAAGTGTACCCCAAGTCTACTCTAAATCAACTGTAAGTCTGCCTCCCCCCTCTCCTCTACCCACCCTTCCTCTGCCCCTCCCCCCCCCCCCCCCTCCTTCACCACCACCCACCCTTCCTCTGCCCCTCCCCCGCTCCTTCACCACCCGTCCCAACAACCTCCCTCTACCTGTGTAATATTAGGTTTCGTGCAGTATCCGTTTACTGCAGAGTCGTTCACACAAACTTGCGCGATTTAGTCATAATTGACTTGACTAGTAACGATTTTACGCGGGATACGCGAACGGTGTTTCCAGTTGTAAAAATCGCTTAGCGAAGTTACCGAATTGTACGCGAACTCATTAATATATTTTATGTTGATACAAATTGCGGTAACTGACAGACGATAATGTTGGAAATATAATATCATACATAGGTCCAGACATTTATATTTAAGTAATTTTGATTACTGATTGAGACCCATTACTAATTGATTTTTTCCTTTATTTCAGTCTCGACCGAACACGAAGCATCTCATTGATAAGCTGACAGTGGCGCAGGCTTATTTAGATCGAATGGATTGATTCAATATTATTTAGCAAAATTATTTTTATTTAAGCTTTCAACCTTATTGAGATATTAATGTATTCTCGTCTATTTGAAAGTATATCCACATTCTTGTTTTTTTATGATTTGATACTTTGGACATAGTATTTTTATTTTTGTATTGAATAAAACAATAGCCGTAAAGTTGACATGTAATTTCAATAAAATAAAATATTGTAAGATATAAATTCCAAATACAAAAAGACAGTGTCTTAAATACAGTCGAGGTTTTTATTGCATAAAATAATATAGTTTATTTGTAAGAATAAGGAAATGGCAGTGATTAATAAATATTTTTGGCGATATCACACTATGAGAAACATGTTCATCTACACTAATTTTGTATAAGAAAGTGAATTTTACAAAAGAAAATAGTATTAATAAATGGTAGCAATCATGTGCATGTAAATGGAAACACGAGGAATTAATTTACTCCACGTCTCAGGAAGTGTACCAAATCGTTTCTATTTTTGTAAATAAACATTTGAAGTACAATAATTTCGTATTATTTATTAATCCTGTACTACAACCACAAAATGCAGATCAGTGAGATCGTTGTATGGTTGATTTAAAACAGTCCTAGTGGACTAGAAGCTTTGGTATATTAACAAATGATTGTGGCACTTTTAAAACATAGCTTTACATTCGATTTATTGAAAATTTACCGTCACTTAATAGAGAACCCAATCAGTCCAACTGCAGCTATGATGAGTCATCGAAAGGGTTTGTATTAATAGGGTGACCATGATTATCATAGTCTGGGTAAGTGTAAAGACTATTTTGGGTCCCGCTTATAGTTGGTAAGCCTACTGTATTCAATGGGGACATTGTTGCGCTCTGTTGCTTCGCCAATTCCTTGCCCGAAGAGTTTTTCCGAACGATTGTGGTGTACGTTGGAGTAGACTTTGTAGGGATGTCCTTGATCTTTGTCGCCGCTCTATAAGTGCCGAATTCGTCCGGCGGCGGCGGCAGGGAGAAGCCGTCGGAGGTCTGAGTTATTTCCGACGTTTCGTCGCTGAGTTCTTTTGCCATTTTTTGCCGCATTTTCCTTGGCATGGTGTAAAACGTGTTCATCTGAAAATTGTTCGAAGCAACATTTTCGAAAATATGATTGTAATATATTTCTATTTTTAAGGCCATCTGACTGTAAAGTAACAATTCTCAACGATTTAATGAAGATGCTCTCATAAAATAAGAATTTTCATCGAGGTATGTAAGCATTAGCATTATGCAAGCAAAAAATATAGAGTTTTTATCTGAGAAGGTGGCAAGCGAGCTGGCGGCTCACCTGATGTTAAGTGATGACCGCCGCCCATGGACATTTGTAACATCCGTTGGGTTGCACATGCGTTGCCACCTGTTAATAAAGTTGTCCCCGGATACCTCATAGCACTCCCACTTCACACCGATTTTCTGTGAGGGCGTGGTACTTACCCGGACGGATCAGCTCATTCATATTTGCTCCTTTCGACTTAGTCTACCATCTTACCGGTTTGGACACGTTGTAGCTGGTCTCCGGCGGCAAATGCATAACCAGATGATCGCACAGCACGTCCATGTCGCGCCTCCTGTTGATATTCTGCAGCGAGTGCATTTTGCAGCCGCCGCTGTGTCGTAGCGCCTCGTTGCATTTGTGCACCTCCGGCTCGTGAGATTCGTGCATGTACCGCGCCGAGTGGAAAGACCCCGTCCTCTTGACGTCGTAGCTCTTGGATGGGTAGCGCGCCATCGCCCGTCGGAAGGAATCCGTGCGCCTCACATTGCAATCGCTGCCCTCGTCGCTGTCGTGATAGGTTTCGCAATTCGTATCTGTTTTCGTTGGAAATACATTACAAAAGGTCAAAACGAGATTTCATTGCAAACGGTTTTCTTAACCGTTGCCGTTTCGTTTGTCGTGATATTAATTAGGCTTGTTGATGAAATAGCAAGGGCGTAGTGTTTATATTCAATTAAATATTGTTTTACTGATCGTCTACTAGTTTTCCCCGTCGTTAAATACAGGAGTTGAGGACCGCTTTAATTATGACGTTTGGGTATTAAACAAGACCGGCGTAGAGTAAAATTTATCCCTTATCATTTCGTCTTGACATCGAGGTAAGCGGAGGACCAACGCTCGCGTATTACGTCTGTTTTTCGACGGTAGAAGTCACTTTCAATGGGTTAACCATTTGTGCGTCTACCTAGCTGATGAACTTCGAAACTGCCAATCGTCAAACATTTTGGCCAGAGTAGCATGTCGACGGAATTATGAGTCCTTTCGTTTTTCAGTTTTCCGTTATACATATAAAATAAATAAATATTTTCACGCACCATTGTTTAGTGCCAAACTAAGCAAAGCTTGTACTATGGGTCCTAGCACATACTAGTTCATACTCATACTTTTCTTATGACACAAGAAGAACCCTTTTCATCTCATAGCATTTTTCAAGCAGCCGGGATCGAACCCACTCTGGTGCACTAACAGGTCCATTATCCACTACGACAATCGCGGAAATATAACTGTATTGTATACCTTCGGTGCTGTACGCGCAGAGGGGCGGGTCGGAGTGCGCCCGAGGCAGGTCCAGACGTGAGCCGCGCTCGTGTGCGCACAGCACGAGACCACACGCCACCAGCGCCAAAAGAAGCACACCGCCGAACAACGCTAGCGCCAGCGTAGTTATATTCGTCACGGCGCTTACCGTCTCCGCCACACCTTTAGCGTTATCATACATTCAAATCGGGAAATGAAGCGAAAATCGCTTGTAATGAGAAAAACTTGTGGAAATAGAGAAAATGATTTTCTAAATATACTTATATGTTATATAACTTATCATTGCGTTACATTTTCTATATAGGGATTGTACAAGAATAAAACGTAGTGAGTTAAAGATTGGTTAGGAAATAGTTTATTGCAAGTCCCTATCCTCGACATAATAGAAACGGTCGGAACAATGTAATGAAATGATGATGGTAACAACATGGTCTTATTTTTCTTTATTTACCTTCTGATTCATTTACAATGCTATCAGTTTCAATTTCTACAATATTGCTCTCCCCTTTGGCGTTGAAAGCCACAATGACGAATTTGTAATTCTTTTCCTTTGGCTCTTGAATCATAAACTTGGGCTCTTGATTAATAATCGAGACTATTTGTTCATCGGAATCCAATGAGGTAACGTTAAATTTGAATTTCTGCAAGAATAAGAATAGATTTTAATACCGTTAAAGTTATACCTGTTGCAGGATTGAATTGTGTGTTACAATATTATTCGAACTTCTTCATGTTTGCTTTACCTGTTGTAAGCCACCATCGTGACCTTTTTCGCAAGTTACAGTAATATCATTTAGCTCACTTTTGACAGCCACACAATTCGATGGCGGGCGAGGTACTGTTTCGTCTGTTACCAGAAAAGAGCACTTCGTCTGAGGTAGTCCGCTACCGACCACGTTATTTAAGCCCCAACAATGTATAAGCGCTGCAAAAAATAGAATAAAATAGCGTGGCTTAGTTTGAGGATATAGAGAGATTTCTAATATATTTCGTATTAATTAATATAATTAATATCATTACTAATACATGTATTTATTTTATTCCAGAGAGTGAGCGAGAGTGACAATTGCAATCAATAATTTCATTCCTGCTAATGTAAAAGATTGTTACATTACCAGTACGGTAATGTTAGAATCATTTTACTGTCAGCTTTTCGGCGGTACCGCATCTAAAAATATTAAGCTTAATATTTTAGGGGGTATACTAAAACAGCTGATACAAACAATATTAGTATTTTACTTTTATGTGAAAAGTTGGTAAGTGAGCAGGCAGTTCACCTGATGGTAAGTGATCCGATGATTTGACATTTTCAACATCAGAAATGTTGCGGATGAGTTGCCAACCTCTATAAAAGTATGCCCCGGTTACCCCACTCACCAGACGAAACGGTAAAGTATATCTTCCTCTTGACGCTGGTCTTCTGTGAGGCTGTTGCACCCCACCGAAAGAGCGTGCGCATTTCTGCAACAGCAGAAACTGCTACGTGGCCTTACATTCGTCGCCGTCGTTAAATTTTGAATAATCAAAAGTTAATTACTCCGTGGCGCGGTTGCCAAGGTATTGGCTTCGGCGTCGGGGGTCGTGGGATCGATCCCCACACGGGACAACTATTTGTGTGACCCACAGATAGTTGTTTCGTATCTGGGTGTTTGTCCGCTTGTTTATGTTTGTAAAACGTCCTTACAATACAGGATAATGTTATACTAAAGTAAGGGCAATGTTTAAAAAAAATTATACGCACTATACGACGTGTCGTTTGGCCTTTTGTACATTAGCGTGGGCTCATCAGTCTCCACGTTGAACGTCTGGTTGTTTCGCACTTGCTTCACGTCCATGGTCTCGCTGATGAATGCCCAGCGGTAGGACGTCGGTTCGGGGTTCGCCTTGACATTGCAGGTGATGTTCACGCAGTCGTTCTCAGCCACACCATACTCCGACATAGTTTCATCCACGCAGTACGCTGGGTCTGGAAACATTTGTAGCGGTATAAGTACTGTGTAAATAAAAGCCTCAAACTAATTTTATTTTATATTCGCTGCCATCAAAACAATGTTTACAAGAATAAATATATACATGGTTATGTTAGGGTGTATCATATGTATCCAAAGTTCAAAATTTAACCAAATTCAAAAAATAACCAATTCCCTTTTGTTTTGAAAACGACATCGAAAGTTCATATAGAATATATTTACAAGTAACGTCGATGGCTATAGGTTCGCTGTAAGCGGATCCCTCGTTGTTTGTGGCAGCACACACGTATTCACCGGCATCGGCTTCAGTTAACTCCGTCAACTCCAATGTCGGTTTAATAGTCGCCTCGTCGTGGTCGTAATTTTGGTTCACCAAGTCGTCCTGATTCAAGAAAAGATATCCAATAAATAATATTAAAGTGAATAGTCTTATGAAGCGATTCGATAATTTGACAAGAATTTATAGTGGTCGAAACAAGACGGCACATTTCGTTACATAAGCGGGAAGAAAGATATACATAAAGCAGAGGGAAGGAGTAGCGACAGATCGTAATCTAAAATCAGTCTAAAACGCATTTTTTATCATTGAAGTTATCGTAGTAAAATAAAAAAATGCAATATCATACTGATGCAGTATCTAAATATAGATGTTTTCGTATTATGTTTCGCAAATATGTTCCGCTTTCATCGTCTATAACTCATAACATTAGTTTAAAATGTTACCCCATGGAACCAGGTCACTTGGTACACGGACGGATTCGCTTCATAATTGCAATTGATTGTAACGTTTGTGCCTTTGACTGCGGTTAGCGTGTTGTTCTCCAATTCACCTTCAACAGCGATTTGCAGTTGCGGTGGATCTGTAATTTATAATGGGACACTGGTATCTCTCGTATTATAAGAAAAATGAGATGATTTTCATGAATAGACTTTCAATGCATGAAAATCAAATAGCACTCTCTGCGTAGATTGGACGCAAAATTATAATTTTTTTAAAACTGACAATAGGTCATCTAACGCTGGTTTCAGTGTCAGTCATGATTGCTGCAAAGTACTCGTATTTAAAACGTTAAATAAACGCAATAGAACCGGTAACTAACAGCCATGTCCCACTGCTGGATAAAAATCCTCCGTACAAAGGATATTAGAACATCTTTCACCACGCGTGGCAGACTTCACATATCTTCGAAATTGCACGTGATGAGCCGACACTTAAATTAACAATTTTATTGATGCTGGCACCTAGATTTGAACTCGTAAAATGTATGTTTATAAAACGTCCTTACAACACAGGATAATGTTATCCAAAAGTAAGGGTAATGTTAATCAAAATTTAAAAAAAAGCATTCGCCCGTAACACTGAGCTATCAAGATAGAATCTGCATACATAAATATACATATCTCTACGATTAGTGAATGCTGTGTTTAGTTGCAAGTGGGTTACAGATTTGCTTATTATTAAATTTGTTCTCTAAATTCCTTCTCCGTGTATGTTAGCCTTACTTCACTTAGCCATTCTGTTTAAAACAATAAAATAATAAAAAAGTGTTCAGATTGCTTACAGAGGACAGTAAGCGGTAGCCCCTGCGCGCAGACGTACTGCTCCATGCCACGTACGTTTGCCGGTGCGCAGCATGTCACGCGAGCTTCATCGTAGTCTGGGGTGATGCTGAGGTGTATTTCACTGGCCACTAGACGCTGCGAAGGCTCCATCTGCCACCGCATTAAGGGGCGTTAAAATATTACGTAAGCATTAAATGACTATAGCCAAACTGTGTTTAATCAAAAATGATAAACTCTCGATTTCAGTGAATAAGAGGGTGAATTTTAAAATTTATGTACTCAATATCTGTTTTCTACATCATTCTTTTGTTATATTATAAAATCATATCACAATTTTATTAATACTATCCCGCTCCCTTCATCAGGAAAGGGAAGATAAAGTTACTCCTTTCCTTCCCCTAGTTTGTTTACGTTTTTGAACATCTCCTTCCCTTATTCGAAACACTGTATTTTGGTATTATTAATGGTTATGCAAAGTATTGGCGATGAATGGACATTACATTTGCTGTTTTGGAATTTGAGATCTGACTTTTTGTATACATACATGTGTCATATTTACATACTACACAAATCACGCTTGCGGCCATAGGACTGAAAACATAATAACGTCCACGGTTTGGGCCATAAGCTTGACGTGTAGAGAGGTCGCCAGTGGGATTCCAATCCGCGAACTCAGATTGACCTCAGATTATTGTGTGTATTGCGAGAGCTCATCAGCGGCTTCACGAAGGGGCCACCATGACCGGGGAATCACCACGGCTTTTCACGAAGATCGGCGTGATGTAAACGTATCCATATTTTTGCCTTTTGCCCGTTCCAAAGACAGAATTTCTTTATTTAATATTGGTTTATATTAAGCTCTTATCGAACTTAAAAATCTACTACCGGTTCACTAAACTAGACTTGTCCAGAGAAGAAACAGCAAGAAACTCTGCGGTCTTATTATCTTTTTTTTTTTTTATTAAATAAGTTTACAAGATTATTTAAGAATGTGTAGAGCAAAGGTCATTTCCCCACATCAGGACAAGGCCTCATTGTATTTTTCGATTACATTATACACAGGTCCTTTCCATTAAGGTAGCTTTTACGCCAACATGCATGCTTTGGTGTTCCAAGTGTTCATGAGCGGCGGTCCTCGCTCAGGTGAATCGCTGGCTTCATCATCATCATAATCATTTCACGACATCAAGATAACAAAGGAATGTGTTAAAACAGTACAACTAACGGTAGTAGAGCCACGCAGCAGCCTCCTGTTGCATGAATGGGTAGGCTCGTCCGGGTAAGTACCACGACCTCGCAGAAGACCGGCGTAAAGTGGAAGTATGACAAACACTTTCGCGTTTCGTCTGGTGAGTGAGGTAGCCGGAGCCCTATTTCCAAAAAGGTTGTCAACGCATCTGCAAACCCTCGGTGAAGCAGATGTCTATGGGCGGCGGTATTCACTTAACTTTTCACCAAAAGAAAAAACAACTACATTAACTAAGAGAACTCACCGTAATGTTCTGTTCCAAGTTGTGTAACTGCGAGGAGTTAAGACGCCAAACGATAGCTGGCGGTGGACGCGCGCCGAAGACGCGGCACTGCAAAGCCAGTGGTTTGCCAGCGCGCACACGCCCGCTTGCAAGCGCGCCGGTCTCATCACCAGCTACGCGCACCGACACCAGCTCAGGCGGCACTGGCATTCATAGACTATTAGGAATAAGAAACAATTCGCCAGAACACTTGAAAAGTACGGATTATGTATTATATTCGTGTCAATATTATGCTGAATGCATAACATTGAAATGCGAGTTGATGGCAACATTTTTATAATGATAATCTCTGCGCCTAAGATTAAAATTTCGTAGAAAAAAGGACGAAAAGTCTCTCAACACTGTGGGAATCGAACATCTTTTGTGAGCCAAATCTCACGAAATCTCACCATGGGGGGGAAGGGTCGATCCCCACTACTGGTAAAATACTGTGTGATGAACGTAGTCTTTTTCTAGTGTCTGGGTGTTTACATATGTATAATATGAGTTACGCAACGGATCTTGATGCGGTTTTTTTTTACTAGATAGATTTATATTTATAAAACATTGCACCCGTGCGAAGCCGGGTCTGGTCGCTAGTTAATTATAAGCGACTAACGGTGCATGTCAATGGTGATATCAATAGAGAGGGGCGGTGTTTTCTCGTTGTTCTTGGCGAAGCATGTGAGGACAAGGCCGTGGTCCTCCCGACGCAAAGGGCCGTACATCAGGTCGCTGCGCACGCGTTGCTCGGACAGAGGCGTTGAGTTATTCTTTAGCAATCTCTGGCCAGCCCACCATGATAATGACGCCAGCGGCTTGCCTGGAACGAATTGAACTTCTCCCAATTCTACTCATTAACTCATCTAACCTGCAGACTCAACTGCTTCGAAAGTCGATCGATCTTCGTTCAATCAAAGCAACGATACAAAACACACGGGAAAAACTTTAGTTTGTTTTTTTTTTATGTGAGAAAGTTCACCTGATGTCAAGTGATAACCGCCCCCCATGGAAATTTGTCACACCCTTAGGGCTGCAGACATTGCCACCTTTTAACAAGTGGACTCCGGTTACCTCACTCACTAGAAGAAACGCAGAATTTATTTTCAGATATTTTTAATTAAAAACTTAGAAGTAGAGCATAACAAAAGTCATGTATTTTTACCCGATGGCGCGACGAATAGGTGGGTAATGTATTTATCAGCCTGTATAAGCATATTTGTTTCTTTGTGGCCGCTCTAGATACCATACGCTTGGACTGATTTTGACAATTCTTGACTTAATCTTACAAGAGTCACACACAAAGACAAAAAGTAATCAAAATTCAATATGGTTACAACTAGGTGCCATTTAAAAAATACATATAACAGTTTTTAGAAACATGTTCCATTTGAACGGCATATTGGCCTTTTCAACAATTTTTGCTATCAGGTAGTCGATTCTTTTGTTTATTTTTTTTTAATTCTAGGCACTTGTTAATATATAATCACGAAGTCCATTTTCGTTGACAGCTGGACGTGCCGGATACGCCTCATCTTCTGGCAGGTCATTGTCATTCCGCTTTAACCGTTTGATGGCGTCCTTTCACTTAAAGAACACACCTCGATCGTGATATAAACGCGATTCGACACGTACGTTAATATATAAACTAAACTTTAAGAATTGTAAATATTGTAAAATTTATCTTGCAATAAAATTAATTTGTGAAAATTATTTACCCAAGTCCGTAAGGTAAAGACGAAGATTTCTTAAACAAACAAAACGCGAAAAAACCATAATTCGAGAATATGGCAAAATATGAACCAAATTATTTCTAAATATAAATGTGTTTTCTGTTCACGTAAAAGTTTGATTTAAAAAATTGTAGTGCTAATGTGAAATACTACTTACCGTCTTGTGACCAACGGGTGCACCTATTGCAAATTTTTGAAAATTTGCATTACTTTTATGGAATACTTCTGCATATTTATTATTTTACATACCTCCGAAAACGACGCAAAATAAGTGAACTGTGTCGCCGACATAGTAGGGGCCGACATTTCGGCTGTTGTTGGACCCCGCGCTAGCCGTTGTGACCCGGGTTCCGTTCTCATGTATTACCCATAAACGCTGCGGTGGCTCTGTGGTCAAATTTAAAAATGTTTTTATGAATATTTTATGACATTATTTATTGATACACTAAGCGCATTGTGTCTAATTCAAATTTATGCTTTGCTTAAAATTCTAGTGTTGCAAAAACAATCGAAATACAAACTGAAAAAACAAAAAAATCTTTTTTATTTCAAGTTTCGTTAAAGCCGGAAAATTGCGCAAATTTTACTGCGATTTTAAAAAGAATAGATTTAAGTCTCCAAAGTGACTGGGGAATTCCTACACGTATTCATTAAATTCACTATACAAAGATAACTATTAACAGTGCAATATATACATATGATGGTTAAAGGCCCTGGCGTATTTAGTTACAGCCGCATTGCGTTCTGGTTTCAATTTCCGTAATATATCGTATTTAGTTTCTTAACCATTAAATGAATAGTGAATGAATTTTACAATTTCACCATATCCCATAAAACCCCACATGTGTATGGATACAGACGGGTGTATTTAATGATAATCTTTCTTATCCTTTAAACGAGCAATTCTTATATATATATAATCGGAATCTCGGAAACGGCTCCAGCGATTTTCATAAAATTTAGTATGTGCGTAGATTCGGGGGCGAAAAATCGATCTGGCTAGGTTTAATTTTTAGAAAATGTCGTTTTATCCCAGTTTTCAGGGAATTAAAAATATCATTCGAATACGATGGTAAATTTCACCGAAAAAAAAAGTTATAATATAAAAGGTCGGTAATCGGGCGGCCCCTAAATAGAAGGCCGTGGTTCGTGTCACGATCATTTACACACTTATTTTTTTTCGATTCCAGATCATAGCTTTCTTTATTTTTTGTCGAGTTGTTATTTTGTTATTTTTCCCCCTTTTTTAATAGAAATACACGATTTACCAAAAAAAAAACGAACAAAACTTGGCCCTCCAGGTACTATATCTTTTATAAGCCGAAAGTATTGGAAGTTTAATATGTCCCCGTAACTATCGTCACCGAAAAAACTCAGCGAGTATTGTAACTGTGGATTAATTTTGTACTGTTTCGTTTACTTAGGATTTTAAAGAGTGTGCATCGTGCACATGCGTAGAAATATGAGGCAGCGAGCGTCCCATGCAACCGTTAAAATATCTGCGTTACTTCAGAAGGAAACCGCACCAGGTTTTAATGTTAATGTGATGAAATGTTTACGTAGCCTAATTGCCCGTAAATGGAGTGAATTGTTCCGGCGCTGTCAGCTTCCTCATTATGTTCGCGGACCAATTAATCCCGGCCACGGGAGCACTATTTTAGTACGCGCTGAATAAGCGGGGCGAAGCCATTACTATTTTTTTATGGTAAACATCAATCGGTATCGCGATCGTAAAGTTTTATTGGTAAAAGTGAACAGATAATTAATTTAATGGTTAACTTGTACGTAGACAACACAAACTTTTATCTAAGTCACTAATGATTAACAAATTACTACAATTTAAAAAAATTACTGCCAGTCTCCGACTGCTATTCATAGGTATCGAAAGAAGTCTTGACCTTTGATTTTACATTATAATTAATTAAAAACATACAACACTGATATATACATTTTTCTTTATAAGTTAATAGTCAAGCCTTACCAATAACTTCAAGCCTCAAATACGTTTTCTGAGTGGGGCTTGATTCGAAGTCTGCGAAGCAGTAATACTGGCCGGCGTCCGAAGGCCTTACAGCGAGAATCTGCAGCTTGTCCACACCTTCTTCAGACGAGGTGATGAGTTTGTAACGGCCGTTAGGTGATGGCACATTATTACCGTCACCACGCAAGTCGCGACTGCTGGTACAGAAAATTTGATCACAATAATCAATCATAGGCCAAAAATGCCTGAGATATATTTATTTACGGTTTAAATGCTTCTTCAACTTATTTTGTGCCGTGTTTACATGGTTATATGACTCTGTGTAATGTCTTCAACTATTAAACAGTACATAATCTGATGATACCGCAAGTTTTAGTCTCTTTCTTTTAGTGTTAGTCTCTGATGCAGGATGACAGCGGGTGACATGATTTCGAGTTACCCGGAACACAAGTTTGAATACGAAAATGGCGAAAATTTTAGATAATTTATCTACAAAAAAGTTATATACAAATTAATGCTATCTTCGATTAAACAACTAGTGCGATATATATCAATATCATTAGCGCTATGTAGTAGATAGAGACAACAATTAATAATGAGTTTGGCGTAAATCATTTACTGTTAACTTCAAGAAATGTGGAGTTTCTCAATTCGATTGTATCTTTTTTTCTGTTTGTTACCTCACACCCCTGTCGTTTATGTACTGATAACTCGTTTTACGTTGGGTATGCTATGATAAGCTAAACAGCTTCCATAATTATGGTCCTATATTCCTTTGATTGATATTGGACCTTGGACTCCAGAGATACATCAGGGAGCTCCTCAAAATCAAATAGAAAATGTATAATGAGTGAGACATTTGGGGTCGGTTTTGACTTTCGTCAATAAAATTTACTTGTAAATCAAAGAGCAAACTTATCACCTATAAAATGCTGTGGCCGATCCGTCCCTATACCACGCGAGTATCTTGAGAAGATCGCCGTCGTTCTCAGCCGTCACGTTGCAGGGCAGTTCGGCGCTGTGACCCATCACAGCTTCCACTGTGAACAAAAAAACGAACTCGTTACTCGACGGCAAAGCTGCGCGAAAAAAACTTGTGTTATAATATCGTTAACGTTATTTTTATACGGGGTTCTGTGCCAATTTAATAAGATTATCTAACTCGTTATTATATATGATTATTTAACTTAGAACGATTGCTATTTTTATTATAAATGATAAGGAAAACTTGTGCTACGGGTATTAGGCAACTGATAAACACACTTAAACATAATTTTATTTTGTAACTAAATATATAAATTATAGATACATAAACACCTAGACACCGGAGACACTATGTTCATCACACAATATTATTCCAGTAGCGAAGATTGAACCTATACACTCCGGCGTAGATGACAGGGTCGCTAACCATTATGCCTATTAAATCTATAGGTACTTTAATTATCAATTACATCAATATACGTAAGCTTATTGTCACATTTTCAAATATGTTTTGATTTTAATTATGACGATGTTTTCCTGAATTAATAACCATTTTTATTCTTTTATTGAGGAATATTTTTTTAGTGCTGACCTGCATTCACGATTAAATATCTATGTAAGTTCTTCGTTATTCCTTCCCAAACAGCTTAAAGTAAGGCTTACAAAGTGCGGAACCATACATAATTTGGCATTTCATTTCAGTTAAGACGGAGCGCATTAAAAATATTTTGATTGTAATTCGCTCTGTTGATAGTTCTGTTAAGTCCCTCAGAAGTTTTGACTACCTTTACCGATTTCATATCGTAGTTAATTTTCAACTCGCACATATTGCTAAAGTTTTTTGGTAATACTAATATCGTTTAACAATAATTAGCCTCAGTTTTGCTTTTTTATTCTTTTAATTATTCTATTCTCTCATAGCTATCTCGCAGAGCGAGATCGTACATACAAATAAATCTAAGAAGAAAACAACACATTAACATTTGAATTTTAAGACCGTTGTTGTTTCTTATTAAAAAGTAATTCTATAGAAATTGCGAATTTTTACAAAACTCCCAAAGCTGGTGTAGGTAAACATTTTGAAGAATCCAATATTCTCACTTCATGATACACGTACATTAGCCATTCTTTATAATGTAAAGTGTTAATGGATCTTCTGCACTTACGTTTGTAATAAAAAAAACATGACGTTTCAATTTGTTATGTCTCTCTCTCTCCCCACAAGGCGTGAGCTCATCGCAAGAGAAAATTATTTAATATGAGTCAAAGTTCTCCAAAAATTTAAAAGAAAATATTTCGTTTATTCGCGTTTTATCGAGTTAACGGGAAATAAAAGGTAGAAGTAAACGTGAGTTGCCTTATTTAAGATGCATTTCATTATATAAAATACATCATTCGCATCATGATTATGTTTAACTCGAAATCGAAAATCGTCTCTCACCTGTAATAATTTCCTCCTGCGCATTTAAACTTTTAAGTAACAATACCGACACGAGGAGAAAGTCCAAGCGTTGCATTGTGGCACTACGTATCATGTTCTCATGAATTAGAGTATACATTCATAAGAATCAGTAAACACTTTGCACGGTAATGTTGCATTTCGACGCGATCGTGGCCCAACTGGGCGCGACGGACACGCGATCCAATTGGCGCGCTCGGTGGCAATAAGCGACGTCGTCGGCGCGTCGGACTGGGAACGCGGGACTCTGCTACCGGCGCGCCGCGGCTCCCGGTCTCTTCCGGAGCGCCCGCTCTCCGTGACGTCACGCCCGCCCTCCGCTCAAACAATGCCCGCCCGCCGTTAATGCTCGCTAATGCCGCCAACAACATCGCTCAGACGAGATAGTCCTGGATCGAACTGCGTCTCGGTGGATGTTATAAGTACTTTCATCTACGCAATCGCCAAGGCAACTTGATCCATGCAATCGCATAGATACATGCAAGGGCATTTGGCGTACGGGCTCTAGTTCGACATAGTTAAGCTCTATACAATAGACATCATATAAATTAATCCTGTCAAACATATCAACAAAAAACATCAGCTCATTGATTAATTTCAATGAAGCAAACAGATTGTTTTTGTCATAAAACAATCCTTGAATAATGTAGGTAAATGTAACTGATTAACACCAGGGATGACTTATCCAGACTTGTTATTAATCGGCTACAAGCTATTGCCGCAAGAAACATACACATTGGCGATGTTGGCAAATTACCCGTGCTATGACGATTAATACAATTATTTAAAGTCAAGCGAGCGATTGTAGATGTCTCCCTAACCTTTAAAAAATAAGCCCAGGTTTCCACCTAACTAACCACACGAAATACAAGCCTGTCTATTTGTACAAGAGCAGAGTCTAATGCAAGAGTGTACCACAATAAAAACAGAATTGCGTTCATGTCCACTCCTAAACTTGTTATATCTTGTGGTATAGAAATTATTTGGACGTTGCTGTTATTGTAAAGCTATGTTATTTATTATTGAAAAACAACTTCCGTGATAATCTTTCAACTACGTCCCATTTTGACAATCGAAAAGTTGGGGGCCTTACAGTTTACCTTATACTTTTTAATTGGTGAGGTCGAAACAATTGGGTCACTTCGGTAGAATTTACTTAATGTGAAAACTGGCAAACGATGAAGTTGGTGTTATTTCCGATTCGATAGCGAAGCTAGCTTGCTTGATGAGATGCACTTTCTTTTTAGGTTCCGTTATGGATAGTTGATAAAATAAAATTATCTTAATTAATTGCTGTCCCTGTTAATTGGTTGTATTCTAAAAAAGTATAAGATTGAGATGACTATAAATGAAAATTCTACTATTCTGAAGTCACCGTCGCTAGGAACTCTAGCTTCTTCAAAAAGACTTGGCTCTCAATCATAGGTTCATAGGACTAATTCGATTCGAATAATGCTGTCAATTGCTGACCATATCATACATATCGATATAAATAAATCACTGAACTTTGAACTAACTGGGTAAACAGAGATTGTTATCACGGTGTCTGTTGTAACCCGAACCTATTGGAACATCATGTATAAGTGTGTCAGTTGTCACTGCACGAAAGTTTTTGTTTTGTTTTGACAGCCGTGATAGCTCATTTTCCAGGCGCTCGCATTTGTCAATATACTCGAGCAATCCGAGTTCGATCCAGTTAATACTGATAATAATATAGCTTTATGTTTTGGTTTTCTTTAGTCTTCTTGATCAGTTTGCCTATGTATTCTCGTTGTATGAGGAAAGATAATATATAATAGCTCTCCTAATTATTACATACTTAACTTTGTATAAGCAGTATATTATATAATATAGTGTTCGATACCATAAATATACAAGTGTAGTTTGTTAATTGATTAGGGACAATATAAACACACGAGTGAACTTGTAGTATTAAAAAGCGGTAGGGTTTGTCTTTTTTTTACTTAAACATTGCCCTTACTGTAGGATAACATTATCCTGTGTTGTATGGACGTTTTACATACATAAATTTCACGTGGACAAACACCCAGACTCGAAACAATTAATTTGTGGGACACACAAATAGTTGTCCCGTGTTGGATTCGAACCTACGACCCACGGCGGCAGTTAGCCCCACATCTGCCGCCCCGGGGCTTGCTATCAGGGGGGAAGGTTGCGCGCGTAGGCCAGCCTCCTGCGCCCTGGTCTCCGGCGGCAGTTGCCTCCCTTTCTCTCTCCGCGGCCTCCTTCCGGGTGATTAAGTCCTCACAAAATGCAAGGACAGCACCCCACGCTCTCTCGCTGTCCACCGTAGCACGAACCACGGCAGGCAGCGAAAGGTCGTGCCCCACGATAGCGCACAACTCTCGGCGCTGCTCCATCCAGGCTGGGCACTCTTCCAGCACGTGTTGGGCCATCTCTTCGGCACCTACGTCGCAGTGGTGGCATTCCGCTGTGGGCTCCCTCCTCGCCACGCGAAACAGATACCGCCCGAAACAGCCATGTCCCGTCAGGACCTGCGTCGCGCGGTAGGTGAAGGCGCCGTATTGCCTGTCCAGCCACCTACTGAGAACAGGAAGTATGGCCTCCACAGTTCTTAGGCCGGCGCTGGGGTGCTCCAGCCTTTGCTGCCACTCAATGAGGGCATTTGAGCGCAGGACATTCCTGCGCGTCCCCAACTCGTCTATGGCTGGCGTGTGGCCCTGGGCTTTAAACTCCTCGCGCCAGAACTGCAGTGACGCGAGGATTTCACCTTCCAGGTCCCAAGGCAAAGAGGCAGCCAACAATGACGCCGCCTCACCGGATATGGTCCGGTAGCCCCGAATGGCTCGTATGGCCAACACCCTTTGCGGTTTGCACAAAAGTGCTTTGCTCCGGCGGCTCAGTGTGTCGACCCACACGGGAGATCCATACAGGGCCATTGACATCACGACTCCGGCGTATAGGCGACGACACGTATCGTTGGGAACTAGAATACCAAACTAGTGTGACTTCGATATTTGAAGCAGACAGTGTGGTCTGAACAAGAAGTTTGATCATTTTTTTTGACGTTTCCAAAGAGTATTTTGAAATAATATTCCGGCTACGTGTCTTAGAGTGCTGGATTCTCTATAATGATACTGATTACACCGCGATTAACTATACAAGGACTTACAAGGTCCTTTGAGTTTATATATTCTTCTAGCTTTGGTCACGTATTTTGATTGTGTGTATTCGAGAACATAATTTATTATATGACCGCTGCTGGATTACCATATCAGTCACAATATTTTGTAACCTTTGCAGTTTGTCGACAAATTAAGCACCTATGAAATCTGTGGGTGATCCGACTATTTACCATGCTAGTATCATAACTGTATAGCAGTTTTTCTTAGAAGTCGTGTTGCAGGGCAGTTCAGCATTGTTGCGGGAAAGCGGGAGCTTTCACTGTATAATTACATTAAAATACTTTAAATATCAAGTAAGTTACCTACGAACTGCTCATTTATCGGCAAAACTACGCAAAAACTTTGTGAAACTTACAAAACTTAATACAGGAAAACCAGGGAATAGTTTTTAATTTATATTATGGAGCTATGGGAAGTAAGTTCATAATTTTTAAAGATGAAACTTAGTTACGAAATATTTCCTTAGAACACGATCGTGGACCAAACGGGATAAGCGACTTCAAAGTTAGTTTAAAGTGTTAATTCAGAAATTTTACGTATAAACAAAAAAAAATTGTTTCAATAAAAATCCACCACTCTAAACTAAAACAGGGAGCGCCGGACACTAGCTACAATCTATCACTACTACTATTACTCGCATCATTGAGATTATAAACAAATCTAACAAAAATATATCTATATACAGGTACCTAATTTAGCGAATGTACCTCTAATTAGAATAAGCCGTGATGGCTCAGTGTCCGGGCGCTCGCTTTTGATTCAATATACCTACTGGAGCATTCTGAGTTCAAATTCCGGTACCGGCACCAACGAAATTGTTAATTGCAATTAATTAAAGTTAATTGCAAAGTCCTAAAGTTATTCAATTGAACAAAGATTTATTTTCAGAATACAACTAACAACTTATTAGGAACGAAACATGTGCAAACATCAATTTTCACGGTACATAATACAAACTATAAAATTACAATAAACTTCGCGGGTGCGGCTTTCTCAAAGGTTTCGCGATCGTCGGTAGCTAGAGGACTGGCACAGTTTCGTGCAATTAACGTTCTCGTGTGGCTTTATATTGAGCATTATGTCAATATTATGCCAAAAAAAACTTATTCACTGCCATTTAGATTTAGTACCTTCGCCCAGTACGTTAGCCGACGTTCCCAAAGTATACTACTTGTCTTTATATTAAACGAATATTAATATAGTGCTAAGTTAATGTCCTCAGATCCGCAACAATCATCTAATACTTTCCTCACATGAGATTTCTATCCCCTAGCACCCTAATAGCGAAGCAGATGGACTAAAAGTAATTTCTTATCTTAGGTTTAATATATTTATAAACTTTTTTATATTTGTTTTAAAAAATTAATCAATTTCCAAAAAATGGATGGAATGTGATTAATAAAAGTTACAAAGCAAGAATGCAAATATCAATATTTTATGGAAATTTTTGCTTCATGTTGTATATTGTATAGATTGTACACACCAATTTGACAAGTAAATAAGGTTATTATGAAATGGCAAGGACACTACAGTTTGATTTTTATACATGTACTCTCTCGCTCTTCTTCTTCAAATACAAGTACACTGATACATATATTTCTTTGGTTCACATACAAAAGGACAAAAATTCAGTCTGTCAAAAAAAAGTTTGATGAGTTACATCATAAAGTTCTACATAGTGCTGTCATATTAAGAAAAAACTAATGGATGTCTTTTATAGATTTGATAAATAAAACAGTTAACACAGCTATCACTGCACTGCCCACAGTAGCTACTAACATCTTCTTCTTTCTCTTTTTATTTGATTCTTGTCTAAATGCCTGTAAGGAATTCAATATAATAAGTTTATGAAAGTAATATTAAATAATAAATTGAAATACTTTCTAATTTTTCACCTTAAAATGTGTGTGAATTGCAATGTCCATTGAGTTTAAAGTAGCGGTTATTTCCCTTAAGGTTTCTAATGCAATATCCGAAGCATATTTGTCTTTATATAGGAGGCAATCTGAAATCTTTTTTGTCTTTTTAACGGCTAAGGTATTAGCCAATATACTTAAATATATCCTATACAAATGTTGAGAGCTCTCTTCTAATACATCAACAACTTCCAATGGTCCTAGATTTTGACTATATTTTTTTCTGAAACAGAGTATTAAATTATTTAGTAATTGAAATGTTCATTGTACTTAATAAATGAAACAAATAAGTTATAATAAATTTTAAGTTAAGATATAAGCTTTAGGACATACAAATTGCAATTAGATTCTTCATAAATTGGCAAGTTTTTAGCTTCCTCAAGAAGATTTTTCCTTATATCTGGCTCATCCACTCCTAATTTTATCAGATCTTCATCAGTTAATTCCATCAGAGTACATTGACCAATATTATGTTTTCTATAAAAAAATAATAATAAATATTATGAACCATCAGAAATAAACTAAGAGAACATTAATTCTTTGAAATTGAACAAAACATGCTAGTTGAGATTAAGAAATATAAAGGTTATAAATAAACAAGGAAAGAAATTGCTCCAAACCTGAAAACATCAACATATTTCTCGGCTTCTAATCCTATCAGTAAAGCATTCATTGTTATGTCAAACTCTGTTGGATTTATTTTATCATTTACGAACAATTTAGACTTCGTTAAGTCAGTATCCATTTTTAGAGTAAATCAAAAACTTATTATGAAGCTTAAAGGTTAAAAGCCGAGGTATAAACGCAAATTTTATAATAGTAATATGTAAAGGTTTAATAAAATTCAAATCGCAGGAAGAGATTAATATAGTACCGACAACAGAAAAATTATTTTGTTTGTTAACTGTTGACTTTTCTGACCGACTGACATTACTGTAAATTGACATTGACATTGATTGGTACTTAGTTGACACTTGACATTTCTTGGTTTGGCGTCGGATTATGGTCCGGTATCAAGGACTTTTATGCTAAAGTTTGACGTTGGGCTTTGAGCTTAAAATTATTTTTATTGTTGGTCTCAAATCACGAAATAGAGGAAAAGAGAAAATATATAAATATCTCACAGATCCACTGTCGCCAAACACACACAATTAATACTTGTGTCGTTTTTGAAATATCGATATTTTTTTCTTATATTTCAACCGTGGTAAATTTTAAATTTCAATACGTTTTTTGCTTTTTACTGAGCGTAGAAAATATGTTCTTCGTGAATTAATTGAAGGAAAATATTAATAAAAATATATCAATCAAAAATAGTAATATGAGACTAAATTAAAACTGTGTGCAATATCTTACTAAAATCAGATATACTTACAAGTCAGCATTAAATTATATACAGCGCGTCAATTAAATACAAATCGCTAAGATTTTTGTCGGTTAGTGTTATCCTTAACTAAGGTATCATAAATAAATAGATACCGTATTTAACTAAACAACACTTTAAAACTACTGTGGTAGGGCCAAGCAACCAGTCTTTGGTTGGGCAGGTACGTGGGAGTACTACGACCTCACAGAAGACTGGCGAGAAGTAATAGTGTTACACTTCTGTGTTTCCTCTGGTGACTGAGGTAACAGGGGCCAAATTTATTAAAAGATGATAACGCATCTGCAACCCAGGTGTTGCAAATTTATATGGGCGGCAGTTATTATACACAGTTCGTTTGCCACCTTCTCTTTTTTTTTTTTTAATTTGCATCTGGCCAGCACTTGACTGCTATCCCACCTGATGGTAAGTGGCGATGCAGCCTTTGATGGGTAACAAAAAATGAAAAGTAATTACCATTTTGCGGGTGTGTGTATCTGTGTGCGTTGGTATTGCCACCAATTCACAGAAAGAAATGACAAATTAATAACTGGCCAGTTTTAAAAACTTTTCATGTCACCGTGATGTGACATAATGCGATGTGTCTCTTGTCACGTCATTGATGTAATGTAGCTTTTGTATTCAATCAAAAAATGTCAATCGCAGTCGTAGGACAGTCTGGCGAAACGAAAATTTTTCTATGGACTTTACGCGGCAAATAATGTCGGACATTGCTATCACTCTCCCTCAATTGACGCCGTTAATGTTTATCATTGAAAAAAAATAAGAAATAAAATGTTGCGTGAAAGAGTAGGGGCACAAAGTTTTACATATTTGAATGGTGTGCCTACATAAATGAGCAAGGATCGGAATAGGTGAATTTTGCAGGATTTTGAAACATAATCTCTGTAATATTGATACGTCATATAATTTATTTCGTGCGCTGAGTATGCAAGAAAGCTAAAATAGTTTTTGGATTTTGATTCTATTTTTATGTTTCAATTATTTCCAGACTCATGTACAGCAGGACAACAGCTGTTGACTGAAGATTTAAGAGGCAAGAAATAAATTTCATCTCAGTAATAAAATTTTATTTGAATTATCAGAAATCGTTTTTTATCTTATTTCGGGTCCGCGTTTAAGTCCAATCTTGTATTAGTACCAAATATCCCCTCATCAACATTGGACATAAACACGGACTCGATACTTACCTAAAATTAATAAAAAAAATATTAAGTGGAAACAACTTTTTTTACCTAGTTTAATTTATCGATATAGTTAGGAAGCAAAGCTAGCTTGGTTAAGCACTATTTGTCTCGTTACGTTGGTACTTCTGTTGTTTGATATCTTTGTGGTATTTTTGTGGTATGGTTGGTATTGGAGTGCCGCGTAAACTGATATTTTTGGCTAGTATAGAAGTCCCGTCTCTTAAACGTAGTGATTACATTCTCTTTGTCTAGGGGTTCCCGATCCTTAGGTGATCGTAGAAGTCTTCTGATCTATTTCAGGGGGCGGAAAATTGTCATGTGGCTACGGTGTAACAGGTTGGTTCGTTATCACTCTCATGTATCGTTAATATGCCGGGATTCACTCTACAATCTGAGACTATCGTTTGCTGCTCGTGTTTGCTAACTGGCAGCTCTGTTACCAGTTATATTCATTACACTCTTACTCTACAAAAATGTCTTTGGAGATATTATGTTCAGGTGGCCTTACACTCTATTAGGAAACTATGGCAAACATCACCTACGTCTGCGTACCACTTTCTTGGTTTTAAGGGCGCACTCTTGAACGCTTCCACCTGGCAATGCTCCATGAATTTGTTAACCACAACTGGTGCTATAGGTGAGCTCATCGCCACTCAATCTATCTCATCAGGCCAAATCTTTATTAAAAACAGTTACTCAGTAGGTAAGTTGTTCACGATTCAATAGTTTCTGATACTAGTACTTTGAGGAATAGTTGAAGATTCTACGTCGAGGCTGACCCTTATCTCATCGGTTCGGATTTTGACGTCTGCCAACAGATAATTTGGCAGTCACTGTCTGGAAGATACTGTGTGCTTCAATCTGCTTACGGCGATAAATCACCATGACAGAGGACTATTTATAGCTGGTTTACGGAATTCAAGCGTGGTCGTGTCAATCTAAGTGACGAATTTCGCGATGGTCGCCCGTCCACCGCTGTGAACAACAAAAACATCGATGCTGTGCGCCATATAATCGGAACAGAGAGGCATGTCCCGTGTAGTAGTCAGGTACCATGAGATTCGGGCATCCTTAGACACAGGCAAGACTCAAATACAATCAATCCTACACAAATATTTGGATGTGAGCAAGCTATGCTCGTGGTGGATCTTACATAAATGGACCGAGACTCAAAAAATGGACCGCGTCACTTAGTGCAATGGCATGCTTACCAGATTTAACGAAGGGGACAGATAGTAACAGGTGACCAAACATGGATTTATTGATAGTAATAAATCCATGTTTCTCCTACTGTGATGATAGTAATAAATCGATGATGTACAGCAGATATAACTGTGCTTTCGGCCCGGGCACTTTGTTGCGCATGAGATGGTTCTCAACGCTTGAAATTACTGACTCCGCTTGTACTTTGTTTAGGCCATCGCAAACTGCTAGACGGAGCGAGCGCCCGAACACCTTGATGAAGGTCCTCTGGTAGACCGAAACCAATCGGTACAGTCGTTTAATTATTATTTGGGAACAATTATTTTTTTTCCATTTAAGAGATAGTCTTTTGTGTTTTTACTGCCCTTTAGAAAATAAATGCATTTTTGACTACATGCACGTCTGGATCCCAATTCCGGAATATTAAAGTTGCACCGTATCAAAAACATTAAAATTTATGTATATGCAGCGCACCGCCGTCGTGCGCGTTGTGCGTCAGTGCCTTATCGAGCTATAGAATAAACACGTATTTTTGTCGTCATAATTAATTACGACGTCTGTAAAAATCATTAAGTAAAATCCACGGCCATATATTTCCTGAAACTGATGTTTTATGAACATTAGTAATAACATAAAAGCTGCTCTTATTTCTCACAATCACAAAAAAGTTTAGTATGTCCTAAGTATATCTATCATCAAATATGTTTAAAGCAGTCCGTTATACATTATTACATATTATGTGGAATGAATTTGTTATGAAGATAAATAAATAAATAAAAATCACTTTATTGCCTTCTGTATAACTTATAACTAAACATGCATTCTTAAACTTAAAGTACACATAATACAATAAAGGAAAAAGGAGGCGGTTCAGCTTGTGCTGATTGGGACAATAGTTCCGAGCAGCGCTGGTTTTCAGCCTTTCCCCACTTCCTGAGGTGTTTTTCGGAAGTTTTAGTTCTGGCCTACCAAGCGGAAAACTAATGAAAGAAAATAATATGAACCATCTTTAAAAAGAAACAATAATTGTGACTATACTTTCAGTTTTTTCGAGCTACAAATCTGTTTGTTTAAACACGTTCTATCGTAATATTCGGTTCACACGAGTAAAAAGCATCAGCAATTCCTATTCAATTACTGTATAAGAGCTAAGAGGATTGATTATTGTATATTACAATATAAACTTCAGATGGATAACAGATGAGGTCCGTGTCAAAATGATATGTAGAGTGGAAAAACAACGTAGCTGGTGGACGACTATTACACGATGGTCAAACGTTCGTATGCATACTAATTATTCAATAACAATAAAAACACGTCGTATGCAATTCAAAGGCGACCTGTTAAACTGGGGTATCATGTTTAGACTCCTAATCGAGGAATGTGCGATCACCGTCAAGTGCGCTGAGCCACGTGTGTTTGTTAATGTATGTTTTGCGTGCCGCGCTAGGCTCGGATAGCCATCGGTAACCGACCCATTCAGGCCTCTGTTGTCAATCTCGTAAAATCTTGGCTAAAGATGGTTCTCGTAAAAATCAATTTCTTCTTTATGGATTTTTTATAAATACCTATCATAGTTCATAACGTGAATCATTTAGACCCTTAGTTCCCCCAGGGGACAACGAGAGACTCGATAACCGGTAGTCACACGTTGGCGTGAAAAATAAATGGGGGTTCACAATTCGTATGTGTATTTGCTTTAAGAGCTAAAATGTTCGTTTGACTTCATCTATCAATTTTAGATCAATTAAGACTCCGCCTCTATCTGAAATATTCAAATCTCTAATATCAGATTCATTTACAGTTTTGGACATATTTTTATTTCGGGTATCTGTTAGTTTCGGTTGCAGTTACGGAGCTCCTTAGCGCGCATGGGCATAGCATGGGCTGGCGCATAAATGGTATAACTACTACTATAATATAGTTTGGTACTCCTTAAACACTAGCTTGTCCTAGCTATTGCCCTCCTTCTTACACACTGAATATATTATATAACGACAATAATTGATATATTACTAAGGCTAACGTCAATTTCACCTTTATTATTCCGCTACTGGAAAACAATGTTGAGTTGGTGAGCAAAAAATAGCTTGACAAGCAAAAAAAAATTTGTACAGTAAAAAAATTTAAATAAAAATACATTGGCATTTTGAGTTCTTTTTTAATAATTTAATAGCCGCCATACTCAAAGGAATATAAATTCTAAAAGCCCACATAGATTAAAATCGTATTGACGTCCCAACTTTTATGATGCGATAAAACAATTCGTATCAGAGTTATTTATCTTTCTAAAACAAAAGGCATACCACCTTAAGAATAGCAGTTATTTATAGCCTGTTTATACCATCAATAAACATTGACTTCGGTGCACCAAACGCAGCATTGGTCCATTGCCGAGCATACCGACCCAAGCACGATGGCACTTTTGAATGCATGCCACTTAAGTGTTGAACCAAGCGATTGACCGCATATAACGTTGCTTAACCTCGATAATCGCATAGGGTATCAACGCGACGTACAATAGTGATGGCTAAAGAGTATTTCTTCTATGTAGAAAAGTGTGACGGACGGACTCGCCAATCAACTTGTTCTCGACAAAGTAGAACCTACATAATTAAGTATTTTTTTTTTAATTTGATCACCTTTCACTTATGAGAACTCTTTTAACCATACATTTACTATAAGGCCATTTTAACCCCACTGACATATACGATAATATGTGGTTTCAATTTGGAAGAAATAGGTTAAATACTTTAAAGTATTAACAGTAATAAATGGGAATTTTTAGATGTACATACATACATATAATACGCACCCGTTTTCTATTTAAACTTCATATTAAGTATCAACATCATCATCATTTCAGCCACAGACAGCACGATCCTGAGCCACCTCCATCCATTCCCGCACATTTGCACCGGTCGTCACTCCATCTAGTGAGGGGTTGTCCTACACTGTGATGGCTAGTAAGAGGCTGCCACTCAATAACGTTTCTTCCCCATCGGTTATCGGGTCTACGAGCTATAAGGCCGCCACATCACTCCTTCAGCTTACTCATCTTCTGAGCTCTGTCGGTTATCTTTGATCTACTAGGGATGTCTTAATCGCGAACTCTATCCTATCACGCAGAGAAATACAAAGCCTAGCTCGCTCCATAGCTCGCTGAGCGAATATGAGCTTCCTGTCGATTTTCGAAAACGATGATTCTTTTGGTAGTTAAAAAAATTATTGTTAATCAATCGTGTGATCTTATTAAATTATGTGTTTGTACCTGTAGCTATAAAGTGTAAAAAATGCAAAATGTGTTTTTTTCATGCATTAGGATAAACCGATATCAAATGAACTCACTTACTTCCGTAATATATCCATAATTTTTTAAAAATAAAATCAATTAAATTATCACTATGCACCGTAATAATTTTCATTTCTATAATAATTTAAAAAAATTACATGTTACTTTCTTCTATTAAGAATAACTTCGTTTATCACGAAAATTACCAACGCCATTTAGTAATTACGCAAACATGAATCGCGTTTTCATTTTCTAAAAAAAAACTGCTTGTACCAAGGCATAAGGAGAACATAACAATGGTTCATAAACCACGATATATGAATGCTGTAATGGGTTGTATATACTTTCTAACTTTTTTGTTCATGTCTCATAAATTTTGTTTCTTATGTTTACAAATGTAAGGTTTATACCAAAAGCTTTTATTTATTACCACAATGATTTATTACTTGATTTCATTTTTACCTACATGTTTACAGTCGTTCAAAACCATAACTCAATTAAAGTTAGGTCGTTAATAAGAGTAATTAAAATTGCACAAGTACCTAGATTTTGAAAGTTGGTCTTTTCTGTATCTGTAGTATATTACGTTGTATCTTATTACTTTGCTTTGATATTCAAAGCCATCATCTATAACAATAAGTTTTTACAAGAAAAATCTTGTAGAAAAACTGAAGTAATGTATTTAGAATATGACTCTATTACCAAATAAATTGTTTGCTTCCATATCAATCAAAAGATTGTACTTATACTGTGTATGAAGTGTACTTATATTCCGTATGAATTTAGAATGACTTCATGACTTATTCGCGAAAATTACCATATTTTATTTTGGTAAATTTGATATATGCCATAATATCTGACAATTGTCTTCTAATTTTTCTCCTCCGGATAGTCCGGGTACGTCCAATATACGAGTGCCTCAGTTGATGAACTTTGTCCATTTACACAGAGATGGATAATATTTTAGATATTAAAATATATTATGTTTACTTCAATATTAAAGTTACCAGAGATTGTCGATATGAAGGTATTAGTTTTAGCATAGTCTAGACACCTACCCAAACCCTAATCACTATTAAATATTCTCCCGAAAATATTTTGTAGTGGATAAAAATACCATCATTACTACATATAATACAATTAGTGAGATAAATATAAAACAATAACTGTATAGAATATTGTCACTCTAAAAGAACATCATAAGATCATGTATCGAAGTTAAGGAGACGAAATGGACTATAAAAACACAATTTTAATGGTCAATTAAATAGTTTATTTGCCATTAGCAGAAACAACTCCCATCATTTTCTGCCATTAAAATGAACAATACAATAGTACTACAATTAAAAATAACTTAATCCTAACAGTCACCGTATCTTAAAGGCATATAAGTTCTAATTACATTTTAAATGCATTTATGAGCAAATCAGCAGTACGGTTTCGTTCCATTGTATATTTTTCCACCAATGCGGTAATTTTCTAATATTAAGCAGAAGTAACCATAATAAGAAAAATAACAATAACACGTTCCAGATGATTTCAACTCTCTTATGTATTCTTTAATTAAAACGATAATATTATATATTTTTTTCTTCGTGTTTCTCTAGTAGCTGCTTTGACAGCCAATCAAGAGTTTTTGTTACTTGAAAAGCGGGTCAGACGTTACACATTTAGTAGCGTATAGCGTTTTAATCCGTCCGTTAAGTTATCTACAATTGCTATAGCCGCGCCTTGTTTCGCGCAAGTAATACGCCGTCCAAACTATTAAATTCTTTTGCCTCTAAAACCTCAGTAGATTCTAATCTAGCTAAATGACTGTGCATGAAGCAGGCCCGCTCAGTAAATGTTTAGACCCAACCGAAGCCCATAATCATTAATACGTTAAAACCGCAGGTTAACATAATGATTTATGTTATATAACGACACGTTCCAGATGATTCCACTTACACTACCTTAATTATTTAAATAAAACCATGATATGCCTAATTTTACTTTTTTCTTACTTCGTTTTCTAAGGAACTTCTTTGATAGCCAATCAAGAGTTTCTACTTCTTGAAAGGCATATAGCTTTTTTATCCGGGCCTCAAGTTATCTACAATTGCTTTAACAGCTTGCCATGTTTCGCGAGCTGTGGATACTATTTGCGATCCAGGCAGCAAAAAACCGTAAGGCCCGAAAGAATCTCGGAGGTCGACGTGATATGAGAACTTGATTCCAGCACGGGCCTTTGCCCAGTCGTGCGACATCCCTGATGCTGGCTGCCGTACTTCCGAAGCTGTTCCAACCTAAAATATATTACGAATGTATAAAAATTTTATTTTTTATTTTTTTTAGGTGAAAAGATGGCGAACGCGATGGTGCTTCCACTGAAGTTAAATTATAACAATACATAGCCATTTGCAATTGACGTTGGGTTGCAAATGGTGTTGTCACTTTTTACTAAAGTGACTTGTCAGACGATATGCAGGAGTTTTTTTTTATGTGACAAAGTAGCAAACGAGCTGATGTTAAGTGATAACCACCACCCATGGACATTTGCAACACCCGTAGAGTTGCAGATGCGTTGCCACCTTTTAATAAAGTGGGCCCCGGCTACCTCACTCACCAGACGAAACGCAGAAGTGTAACACTTCTACTTTACGCCAGTCTTCTGTGAGGTCGTGGTACTAACCCGGTCGGACCTGCCCATTCGTACAACAGCGAACACTGTTGCGTGGCCTTACCACATATTTATTATACGGAAGATGTTATAGGGTGCAGTGGGATAATTCCGACAGTTTTCGATTAATTATTGAAAGTAGTTTTATATCTAAGACCATAATTGTTTTACATCTGTTTGCGTTACGAAAATAACTGTGATAAATACTTAAACAATTCTTAAAATGCAATTGGGGTTTTGGATTAGAGCATTTGAAATATTAAGCTAATATTCTTTTCGTAAAAGGTATAATTACGAACTATCATGGGGTAATTCTGAAGTATTTCAAAAGTTGTATTTATTGAACTCTGGCCTAAAGTACATATTACTTTTTCAGTCGTAATTATGTGTTACACAAAATATACGCAATATTGTCCATAGAAACATTAATCTAATTTATTACAGCTTTGTTATTTCGTAATTACCCCTGAAAGTGTATGTGGTTCTCAAACTTTAAGTTACAATTGTAGGAAACTTTTTGTTAAGAACTTTATCCACTTATTTTGTACTAAATAATACAAAATATTGGAAAAACCAACATAAATAAGGACGAGGAAGATCAAAGAATGTAATATATATTTATTTAATTTATAATCTTTTTCTTCAAGATACTTTCCAGCAAATCGAAATATTCTGCAATGACGAATAGATCTGTCATTTTCTCCTTACAAATTCTACCGGCTGTACTTTTTTAAAAGACAATTTATGTCGTTTCCGGAAATTAATTAACCAGGGATATTATTCTTAAATGGTGTCGGAATATTGTTTACCTGCACATATTAAGCGACATCTTCCATAGTTTAATTGTTCTGCTAATTTATTTTCTTCTATAGGTATGACGGTAAGTATTCTTGCATTAAACCTGACTGTTGCTTTATTTCTCTTAACGTATTCATGAAGAATCGTCAAGGGGATTTTATATACGTGACTTTAATTTTCTTTCTTATGTGATTTCGGGACACGATAGATATGTAAAACAAATTTGTTAATAATGAAGATACATAAAAATAAGTTTGAGAACCACTGCTAATTACTATGTAAAAGCTAAATTGGGGTTATAAGGAAAATATAATATATCGGAATAAACCCGGAAGGGTATTTCCGAAAAAAAAAATTAATAACAATTAGAATGTTAGTTTCCTCGTACATAAACGCATAATACGATAATCTATGTTTAAAAGGAAAACTTGTTCATGTAATTTACCAAAACTGCGAAATAAATTTATTGGGGTTATTATGAATCACTAAAAATGACGCGAAAAACACTTGTCCAAGAAAACTTGCTGTCACACACATAATATTGTCACTAGCGACTTGCTACGACTGAGACGGCGTGGTTATTAAATATGCTGTCTAGCCTAACGTTGCTAGTAGGGAAATATAATTATAATTAATAGAAATTTAACGATTTCGGAATATACCCGATTTCGGAATTGCCCCACTGCACCCTACTGCTGTTATAAAACATATTTAAAATAAAGTCAATCTATTAGGCGACCGTACTACGACGTTGATTTCAAAAATTAAGCTTTTGTTTCTTAGATATATCATGGAATCTATTTAAAGGATGTAAGAGTAGATATAGATGAGTATATATAGATATATATGAGGGATCAGTATTCTTTATCAATCAAGAGGTTCAATGGTTTCACAAGAATAAATATTAAGAGTTAAACAAGACTTACTTGGTATTTGGTACCATACATATCCGCGAGAGCAGCCACAGCCAGTTTACCCATTTCCATCATAATTCCGTCGTCACCAAAAGACGCATGTGAACTTGGTGTTAACCACGTTTGGGAGTAGGCGTGTAAAGATAAATATACCTGGGATATAATAAATATCGACCATTAAATAAGCAGATAAAGAAATAAAACACAGAAGATAAAAAATATGTCAAGGTCCAAAGGGGCAATTCAGACAGGAACGGCATAAGCTTAAATACTCTACTTTACTTTTAGTGATGTGTGTTGTTTTTAGTCCGTAGACTTTTAAAGCTTACTCAAACACATAGCTCGTGGGGTATTCAGAACTCTCGAGCTTGGTGCGGCCCTCCGCGTTTGGCTAGTTCCACGCATGTGCTTTTACGTGCGTTATTTTAAACGGGAGGAACGTTAGGTACGGACCGTGAAATATTACCCCGATGGCCGTAAAATGTCGTAAATGTTAAACTGATGACGTCAAAACGCAAGCGAAATGTAACTGTAAGTCGGAATAATAAAATGTTAACGCATCAACTTGACATCAACCACAAAACCGCATTTAGATGGTACGGTGGTTCTGTCAAAATAAATTTTAGAATTATACTGCATAGAAAATGAGAAAATGTATTCGTTTTGAAAGTGTATTAGAATATGCTATGAAAGTAATGATGTGGTAAAATGATTTACCGTTGTATTTGTCACCACCTAGCGGTTTATTTTTATCCTACAACATACATCACACACAGCACACATCCCTAAGAAACAAACCGGTCAAGTGCGAGTCGAACTCGTAGGTATGTTGATGGTTCCACGCCTACCCATTATACCGCCATAATAAAATTGGTAAATAATTACCACCGATTTTCTCAGGAACGGGTGGACCTAGCAAGTTGAGATTTATACCATATACTGAGGTCTATAATCCCGATTAGGTGGTGGTCCCGATTCAACACGATAAGATCTTACAGAAGGTCTTACAGCACAATTAAAGAAACACTCCGAAGAGAAGTAAGGTAAATTTTGGTACTAACAAATTTTCGCGAAAATTTATTTCTTTTATTATCTAAATTTGCCCATATCGTTTTATCGTTTTGACTCATGGCCTTGATTTATACACCTTATAGTGATTATAGACCTCAGTATCTGGTATAAATTTCAACTTGCTAGGTCTACCCGTTCCTGAGAAAATGGGTGTTGACACACGGACAGACAGACGAACAAGAGATTGATCTTATAAGGGTTCCTTTTTTTAACCTTCTTAGGTACGAAACCCTAATAAGAAGTTTAGAGGTTTTTGCTATAGCGAAATTTTTGTTATTTGTTCTATACATATACATCATATATTTGATATTTAATTTATTGATTGAAATATTAACTCGTATTTTATAACAGAGTTTATTACGCACGATTTAGTAATGGTTTTTTTCCTACTTATTTTTCATAAAATACATATTTTCTGTTAAATTTCTGTACTCTATTGATCTACTTAATTATACTAATAAAGTATGAATCTGCGTCGGCTATAAGAACAGTTCTGTCGTAAATTCTTATCTAGCATAAAAGCATGCTAAAAGTGAAACCTGTGCCATATTTTTTTGCGTTCACGGATCACTGTCGCCAGCATAATTAGAATAACCACATGTAATCATGTTCGTGCATCGGATATTTATATCACAAAGCATAATATACTACTACTATACACTATAATGATCAATTTAACAGAATGGAGCGAGAACTATTGAAAAGTAAACTTATTTTCCCTAACCTTTATTTCCATGTTCTTTTCCCATTTTAGACATTAAAATATTAAATCCTGAATTTTCCTAATCGTTGCACGATAAATGACTATAAGGTTAAAAGAAAAACTTTCTAATTCGCAACAAAGCCGCACGTTATCTTTTATCAGTGGCGGTTAAGATAAACAAGAGAAAAAGAATTTCAAAACTCAAGTAATAAATACGCCGTCCAATATAATAAATTGATAAATTGAATTTGCTTCTAAAATAACAGTAGATTCTCATTTAGCTAAATGACTTTGCATTAAGCAGGCCCACTCAGTAAATCTATAGATCCAAATGAAGCCCAATTAAATATAAGTATGTTATCATAACGATTTCTTATATTTGCTCGAATATTACTAGTGATTGGTATTTATCGAATGAGTAGTGAGTATTATTTATCGAATACTACATATATCTCTTATCCTTTAAACGAGCAATTCTTGTATATATATATATAATCGGAATCTCTGAAACGGCTCCAGCGATTTTCATGAAATTTAGTATGTGCATAGATTCGGGGGCGAAAAATCGATCTAGCTAGGTTTCGTTTTTAGGAAATGTCCTTTTATCCCTGTTTTCAGGGAATGAAAAATATCATTCGAATATGACGGTAAATTTCACCGAAAAAAAATTTTTTATAATAGCTCGGTCGGTAATCGGGCGGCCCCGAAACAGAAGGCCGTGGTTCGTGTGACGGTCATTTACATACTTATTTTTTAACTTTTTTTTCGATTCCAGATCATTGCTTTTTTATTTTTTATTTTTTGTCCATCCAGATGATTTTGTTCTTTTTTTCCCTTTTATTTTAAATTTCTTTCTTTTGTGAAAAACACCAGTTCATATTTTCTTATTATTACGTCGGTAAGATCGAAAAATATTATGCATGTTTCATTACTCAGTAATTTGTATCTAAATGTAATTTCCAAAATATACGATTTACCAAAAAAAAAACAAGCCGAGCAACGCTCGGTCCTCCAGGTACTAATACCTTTAAGTGAGTAACAAAGGCCATCACTATCTGACATCTATATTATCCATAGTATAAACAAATTAATTACATACGAAAAGAAAGGAAAATTATAGTCTGTATGAAAAGGAAAAAAATCAATATTAATTACCTAATTAAGATTTGATACTTCGGGCCAAGTCATCAAATATAGAGGTGAGATTATATTGATGTAATATTTATTTTTACACCACAATTAATATAACTAAATACCAGCAATATACGGCGTAGTACGAAAAAAAAAAGTTGTTTGACGAGTCATAAACATATATTAGGTGTTTACCAATTTACTGTTATTTATATCCAAATTAATCTCACACCCATGTTTCTATACATAAAAATAATACATACATAATTATTATCATCTTCGCATAACTACTACTACTCGGACTATATTAGATTTTTTTAGCTTTTAGGCCGTTGTATACGTCTTAATGTTAGCCGATTTGTCATAAGTTTGCCCTCGGCAGTTCGAAATGTTAATTCCCAATTCAGTTAAAGCACGTAAGATTGTCATTTGTTGTGACTTATAGCATGTTTTGAATGAACATGGCTGGATTGCCATAGCGTATAACGTGTTTGGGTACTAACGGATGGAACGGAGCTGTAAGCTCTAAGGGCTTCAAATAATTAACATTATAAAATAAACCAAATTTCTAGTCGTGCACGTGATTGAGGCACTTTACCCAGTATTTTTTTCTATCTGATTTTGTTAATGCATATAAACGAACAAAGCAACGCGTTAGATTAATTCCCATTAATCTAACGCATTGCTTCGTTCGTTCATATGCAGTACCGATAATTTGAAAGTAGGCGAAATTAGTAGCGAATTGTGATGGCGATGATAAATAATCGATCACATTCTTTTTTCCAATAATTGAAGTCTGCGCTTTTGGCGAGCTGACTCTCCCCGCCATTAAAAATAAGACGAGGACAACAAAACACATTCAGTACTTTTAGAATAAATTAGCGACGTTTACGGAATGTCTTGTTTGGCTTCGTTCTTGCAAAGATCACGCGTGTCCGTATAGCCAACCAAAGCACGTACAGTATTCTTCCTTATAACAGTATTCTTCCTAAATCACTTACATGTTCGAAATGACTTAAATTTACATTGGTTTGTACCAAATAATTACTTTAGTTTATATCTTATTATAGATATATAACAAATCTCTATTACAAGCTTTTATTTAGTTTCACCAGTCCCTGTGTTTGTCATAAAATCTTATAAATTAAATATGATTCAATTCCCGGTTACTGATTGAGATGTAATTTTGCATACATGTGTAAATGGCGTTACAATGTAATATTATGATCACATGTTGCTGATTAGATAATGTAGCTGGAAGGTGGTCATGGGAACTCTGTAATGAAACGACGCAACTCCATCGAGTCTCGGCTCGTTTGATTCGTCTTGACTTACTTTACTTACTTGGAAGTAAAGCTACTTGAGTACTTTGGTGCTAGATGCTAACTAGGGTCTGATGATGGAGCTGGAAGTTGGCCATAGGAACTCAGTAATTAAGTCACAACCGCGTCGAGTTTAATTCGTCTTGAAGGTTTTTTAATTTCTTAATTGGTGGACGTGAATATGCGACCCCATCTTTTAATTTTATGTTATACATAAAATGTACGAAAGTGATTTAGGAACATAATTGTTAAGTGATGCCGTGAAGTGCGGCCCGCTATAATTTGCGCGATCCTTTAGAATATTTAGGTACTTTGAATTCTTATGATTATCATTGAATTTTTTGTCACGATTAGCCGCCCCTAAAATCGGGTCTACTGGGCCTTAAGGCAAATCCGCCACTTGAACAATTTCTATGAAAATTCAGAATATATTGAATAGTCTATTTAATTTTTCTTCTATCGGAATGATCTGATACTAATATTTTTATATCTATACCCATTAAATTAGTTTTTTGCACGTTTGTAAAATTTTTAGTGGTAGGCTTATTTTGTAAGTTATGATTGCCAAAATGTATTTATTACCTTGATTTGCCCTCTATGTTCAGCGAGAAACTCGGAAACTGCGCGAGTCTCGGGTTCGCTGAATGGATTTGGCCCTGCATAGTTATCAGCGCATGGGTCACGAGAGGAGTCCATTTCACCCCAGTGATAGTCCCAGTTGCGGTCAACGTCGACGCCCACACACTCGGTATTGCCCCAATTCCATGGAAACCTGAAGAGTATCATAATACTTTATCGAAAATCTTATTAAATATCGTATAAATCTTAAATTTCTTATACTCAAAACAATTTATCATTCAATATATCTATCGATTCTTTAAATTCATCTAAACTCATGCATGTTTTATTTTTAAACTCAATGTTTCTAGACTCAGTTTCTGTAGGAATAAGAGGTGTTTATTTTTGTAAGGTACATTAATGATCGCGCGGTTATTATTTGAAACAAACAACGACGCAAAAAATACGCCTCACGCGTGAGCAAAACTTTATTTAAAAAAATCCTGTACCAGCGCTGTGTGAAACGAGATAAATGAAATCATCATAGCGTCCGGTTGGTCAAGTCACGTGTTTTGTAATGCAAATAGTATTTCCTTTGCCTTTCCTGGTCGTCTGGTACTAAGGTAAAAGCTAATGAGGTAAAGTTATGACCCACTTCGATAAGCATAATAACGTAGAAGCAACAAATTTCTACTTTCTTTTTCGCAATCATTCCTCAGTTTGACAGTACTGACCAGCCCACATAGTAGTCATCTGATTGGTCCGTAAAGCGGGAACGCGTCTTCATCCAAAGTCTATCGTGCGTGTGAGAGTGCTCATAACCATCCGGATTTAAAACTGGTAAAATGAAAAAGTCTGCCATCTTGAGTAGTTCGTAATCGGGACCTGTGACGAAAATTAATTCTCTCGTTGATGATAGTATACCAAACAACCACTGAAGGATTACGAACTTAACATGAAAGGATATAATAAATAAATAAATTATAAAAGATACATGTTTTTAACTTTCCTTTGTATCACAACCAATTTCTACATTAGATTTACATGGGAAGTCACATCAATCGATTCATAAAAATACTGACAAGTTTTTTATAACAATCTAATTAAAATTTAACCTAGGCCTTTTTCTCCTTCCACCAAAGCATGTAACATCCAAGTTGCTACCGCCGGCGCTATCCATTCGCGCGCATGAGAACCACCGTCCAACCACACCGCTGGTTTCATAAAAGACTTCAGCTTCCATTTCTTTGCACCTATTCCTCCTGATTCCTTGGCTTGCGTGTCATTCGATGGCAGGGAAATCTTAAAAGTACGAAAAATTTTTTGTAAGTTTTACAAACTTTAAAAAATCAATGAGAAAAATACACAAAGTCAGAACAACAATTTATGGAACACACAATTTTTTTCGGAATCGGGAATCGAACACACAACACTAAGCGACAAGATCTGTTAGCTAGGCCTAAAACTGAACCATTGCTCTATCTCTGCAGCCAAATGTAATTGTGATTCCACTTTCTAAGTAATTTAATTCGTTAATGAATTAAGTTCCAACTCGTTAAGAACGTAAGTGTTCAATGAATCATGTTTATTATTATTATTATAATTGGCTGGGATACGTACCTTTACAGCAACAAGTGGTAAGCCTTCGGAAGATCTACCTAAAGGGACCAATTCAACAATGTCGGAATTGGAATGCTGTAAATATTCTAAGTAGCGAAGAATGTCAGCGTATCGATGATATCTACGCCAAGTCATCGGGTGACCGCGTAGTTGCTCGAGCTCAATTCTTTGCTTTTTGGAAAGCTTTGGGTTTTCGTATGTAATTGCTTTCTGTAGAAATGAAGTACCGTGTAAAAAAACACGAAAAAAATGTATATCTAAGGAATTAAAATCATTACCTGTAAATCATAAATTATCACATCGTATTCTATTTTATTGGACTTTAAATGGTCCTTAACGTCTGCCAAAAGATCAGGAGGCACCAAAAGATCTGTGGAGCCGTTTAATGAAGGTGAAGTCCACCACATAAGACCAGAACCTTGGCCCTCTTCTTGAAGTTCCAACATTTCATGCACTTTCCATTGCACGTCTGGATATGCCCTCAACAATTGGTACGCTTTGTAATTCTTCCTTAGAGACTTTTTCGGTGGTTTTTTAACTAAAATCATAAATTAGGTAACCGATAATACAAAAATAAAAAAGGATAAAAATTTTGCAAACTCATAAGTTCTTGAATGATTCTTACATTACTATACAGAAACGTGATTAAATGTTGTAATTTTAGTAAAGCTTTAACTACATCTCGATTTCACTTTCATGAAAGAACGCGCACCTAAACACTATGACGTTTAATGAACGTTTCACTTACTAGGTTGAGTCGAAATGGGTACTTCGTCGTTTTCTTCGGAATCTAATAATAACTGAAACCAATTATTGGTAGACGTAGTTAATGGAACTGGAGTCGTTGTAGTAGTGGTTGACTGTTTAGGTTGAGGTTCTGCAAACCATGTTCCACCAAACCATGACGACCTAGATCCCCACAACCATTTATAAATTCTAGAAAATATACCTGTAATTAATTGCAATGAATAAATATCATTGATTAAAGATTTTTCTTAAAAAAGTGTAATTAATCAAATGCCAATTTAAAGATAGGTATTCAATTTTATTTTGGATATTCGAAGCATTGTTTTCATATAGAATATTATAATTATAGTAATACCGATCCACAGACAAGTTCACGGACAAGTCGTAATAGACGTTTAAATGATTTAACTGATCTTAAAAGGAGAAACTTTATAAGTTAGTAGAGCACGCATTACTCGTTACTTTTAACTAGCGAGAGCAACCGGCGGGCTCTGTCAAGTTGTTCTAAAGAAAACCTGTCTAGGTATCCGCCGATTTTCCGCATTACAACCTAACCGCTAAGTAATTGTTAACAGGAAAGAAAAACAAATCTTTGATCTGAACTAGGGAAATTTGACAAATTTATAAAAAACCGTTCCGGAGACATTTAAAATCACCGACCGGAACATGAGAATGAATTAACAACAAAAACAAGTGAGTTTTAGGAATTTATGCGGGCATGTCTTACAGATTTTTTTTACATTATGCGATATAGCGTAGGAAAGTTATTGCTAGTGTAACGGATTTAATGCTTCATGATTCTCTTCACCATCGTTCTTCGGACACTTCGCGTTAAAATTATAAGTCATCATGTTTTTTGAAATTGCTTACACATTGCACAGCAGCAGTGATTTTAATGTGCATGGCGTTTCATCACAAAAGATGACACGCCACTTCTAATTATTTAGAGTGGTCGGTTAGGAATAAAAAGAATAATCTGGTAGCGACTAACAGAGCTTTTGCTGTTTACCTCTCATGAGGCACATTCAGAGCCAGAACGTAACACAGCCTCACAGAAGACCAACGTAAAGTGAAAGTATTTATACTTTTGAGTTTGATCTCAGGGAGGTAACCGAGGTCAATCAACTTTAATGTTCATAGTCCAAACGCAAGCTCTCGAGTATTCAGGATATCACATGGGCGGCCATAATCTATTCTTCACGTGAAACACACTTGAAACTCTTGCCCCTTTCCTTTTCAATGATAAAAAATAAAAAGAATAGTAAAAATAGTTTTTTTATGTGAGATGGTGGCTAACGAGCTGGCGGTTCACCTGATATTACGCGATAACCGCCACCCATGTATGTTTGCCACACCCGTTGGGTTATAGATGCATTGCCACCTTTTAATAAAGTGGGCCCCAACTACCTCACTCACCAGATGAAACGCAGAAGTACAACACTTCCACTTCACGCCGGACCTGCCCATTTGTGCCTGTTGGGTGTTTACCGTTACCACAGTTATATGGTTCAAAGTTCGGGTTATAAGTTAGTGGGATTATATTTAGTTAATCTGTTTATCGTATCTTTTTCATTGGTAGTATTTGAGTTTGAACAAAACTGTCATAAGAATTCTCATGTTTATTGCATTTTTGTAATTGCGGATTTTTAGACTTTTTATTTGTCTTTTATATTCTTGAATATAAAAAGTTTATTGATGTTAATTGTCTTGTTTTTATTAAATAAGTCACGAAAGGAACTTTGAATTTATGAAAACCAAACTGCTCTTGATTTTCTTGTGTAACTATCCTGTTAGTTCAGGGAAAAACTCACCAAATAAAATAAGTATCTCTTTGATCCTATGCTACCTTCTAGAATGCAGATTTTTGTCTTACAAGTAAATTTTGCTGATGCAGACAGAGATTTAATAAAATGTGAAAAAATTAAATTCATGAATAAAAACAACAATGCGCAAATAAAAGAATATACAATAATATTTATGACAAGAGTTGTGTCAAAAATGCACCTTTATATTATCCCACTCAGTTATACCTCACCTACCTAGGAACCAACCTGTTTTAGTCTCTTTCTTCGGTGATTTCTTCAGTTGATTCTGTTGAAAAAAGGTTGACAGCCAACCGGTGCTCTTCGGGGGGCATGCCGACTTTTTATATTTGGGCGGTAACGTTGCTTTGGTAGTAAGGCGATATTTTTGCGTGGTCGTGTGCCGGGAGGTGCTTGGGCGGCGTGTAGTTTTTGCAGGTCTCCGCGTCATAGAAGCTCTCCGTGTGGTCGAAGGCCGACGCGAGCCAGGTGGCTTTTTTGTACTCACAGGCCGCGTCAGTACCTGAACCATCCCGTCCGACCAGACGCTGTGATCAACTTGAGCATCACCCATTGGTCTTTTAGTAACCTTAGCCGTCTCGATAGCGTGCGGCGGCATCGTCATTACAAAGTTCGTATAGCTCTCTATATTAATACTCGTTTTGATCACCTTATTCTTATCATCACCCTTGATATTCTTTGTTACGTTAACCTTTGGAACTTGGCCCCTTAGTATCACTTTGGCACTTGGTTTGGTGGGAGACCGTCGCGGCGGTGGTGTCGTCTCCAAGGAGTCCTCGTAATCGTCCCACTCGGCGAAAGGGTCCAGGGATTCGGAATCCGAGCGGTCAGCATTGGGGGGCGGGCGGCGCGGAGCAACCGCGCACGCCAGCAACACGAGCAGCGCCAAGCGACGCGCCATATGGCGGACGTGTGTGCATGGCGAGGTGCGCGCGCACTGTACCTAAGCTCCGTTGCGGTCCGCCAACGACGGCCCGACCACCTTCCCTGCCACTGTCATTACGAGACGATGTCGCTTTCAATGTGCTCGCCACCACTAGGTCAGTCCGCCTGTTCGAGTCTAAACATCCAGCTCTCCACTTAACCATAATGTTTAATGCCTGGTATATTCCTTTCACCCCGTATCAGTGGATTCGTCGACTATTTGCATTACTCATTGTATCAAATTGTACCGTCCTTCATGTCCAGCACCATGGAATATGTGTTTAAATGAATAATCGGTTATATACTACTTTTTATTAATATTACAACTGCTTACGTTCCATTTATGTATTGTAATTTCTATTTATTCGTTATAAATATGGAGTTTGGGAAAATTACATGTTCCCTAAAAGATTATTAACACATTTATAAAAGCAATAAATACAGATTAGACCTCAAATATAATAACTATTTAATTGTCGATTAAATAAATTAAAACAAAGATATCTCATTTTTCACGAACATAGCACTCTCGTAGATATACAATGACTCATAGTCATTGTGCCATGTTTCATGAAATATGGTTTACAGCTTACAGTTTTTTTTAAATATGAAAGTTGCCAAACGAACAGACGGTTCACCTGATGTTAAGTAAATACCGACGCCCGTGGACATCTGCTGTTCCAGATGTGTTGACAACCTTCTAAAAATTAGGCTTCGGCCACCTCACTCACCAGACGAAACGCGAAAGTATTATACTTCCACTTTACGCTGGTCTTCTGTGAGGTCGTGGACCTACCCGGACGAGCCCGCCCATTCGTGCAACAGCCGAGCCTACTGCGTGGCCCTGCCACCGTTAGCTTACAGTTTCCCTTTACTTGCACTGATGGTTATTTGCAGTAGTAACCCGCATTACAGTTACTAATAAACCAAAAAAAGCTAGAGTATTTTTTTAACCAGAATATATTTTCGTTTTCAATACATTAAGAACTAAAATAATTTTAGACCAAATATGATGCCATATCATATCTAAAATGAATGGCTCAAAAGAAAAGGCTAGGTGGTACACATAGCCATTTCTTTGATTCTTTAGTTCTTTCTTAATTCTTTGTCAAATTTTTTGGACAGTTTATACAGGGTGGCTTTTCTAAGTGTATCCATTTTTTTTAATTAAATTCTAGACATAAATACTGTTATATAAAAAATGGTAAATATTTAAAATCAAGTAATTAATTACATTCATTTGAACTTATCTCAAAAAGTGTGTGATTTATACGAAACTCATTTATTTTACGCGCGATCATTCATAATTATCACGCACAAGTTCGTGCACAGTAAAATTTAGATATTTATGAATGACTACCGCATTGTCACACGTTCTGTTTTTTTAGGTAATAGTGGCATTTTTTTGGAAAAAAAAAGCTTTGTTTTTTATTTCAATAAACGATTATACTACCGAGTCTGAACCTCCTATGTAAACTTGGGCACTTCCCAAAAAATCTCCCTGTATAGCATAAATGTTAGTATAGTTTAACACATTTTTGAAGTTATACTTCTTTTGGCGTGTTACGAAATTTTTTCGTATGAGAGAAAAACTCTTATGATGTGCGCACACCAACAGTCAAATAGCGATGAACGTGGTTGCAAAGCTACATCACCTGATTCAAATATCATTATTTCAAGCCTGTTCATTGTTCACAATGTTCATTGGAGAAGGCGGTAGCATCTCCCACAATTATCACTTTTGGAGTAACAATAATATCCATAAAATATATTTTTCACCGTCTTAGTACGCACCTTTTTGATTAAAATAAGTGGAAGCTTTTCTATATAGCACATCACAACCAGTTTAATCAAAGTCGTCCCCCTGTCTGTATGTCCCTATATATGCTTAGATCTTAAAAACTACACAACGGATTATGCGGTTTTCTTTAATAGATAGAGTGATTCAAGATCTCCAAGATCCAAGTTTATATGTATAACTGATGCATAATATCGAGAGAAGCACTGATCATTTTAATGGTTTCTAATGCGATGTCGAAAACAAACATTTAGCATTGCACTCGAGCGAAGCCGGTGCGTGTCGCTAGTATGTACAAACTACAAAACACATCATTCAGAACATTGTAAAAGCATCCATATTATAATTACTAGCTTAACGGCTCTGCTTCTCACACGTGCGTTAATATATTCTATGAAACAGTGGTAAAAAACATGACTGACATACTAACATTAATACATTTTCCTGTCGGTTATTACATTAAATAGATTCTATATTTAGAAACGAGAGGCACTTTTTGGGCACACCTTTTAGAACAAGACCACTTTAATTAAATAAAGCCCATGATTTAGATGTTGTGTTAAGCCAATTCATGAGAAGTAAGCAGCAATAAGAAAATTTAATCAATTCCATGCCTTAACAATATTATGCCAGCCTATATATCTTACCGTATCGTACGTTCAACATCACCTATCACATTCACTTATATATGTCATAAAATGTAAAGATGAAAAATTTTTAGACGCCGCGTATGGACATGCGCCATCTTTACTAAAAGTACTTGTGCAAAAATACAATAAAATTAACAAAAAGGTCATTAAAGTGAACTGTATTTTTGTAATATCCTATATTGATACAGTTGTCCATTGAATATTGGTTCAGTTGGTTCTCAAATGGTAAGTCTGTAGGTGCTCAAAATTACGCCAAACAAGCAGAATTCAGAAAACTCCCGAACTCCCTAGCGGTTTACTAACCAGCCGCCGCGGTAACGAGTATTCAGCCTAGGGACTGATATCATTCAAATGCAATGTACTGCACATATATAACAGATATTGACATGCATGTCTTATAAATTCAGTTGATAGTTATTACCTGTGATCGCGTATTACTAGTATGTTAAGAAAGGATCCAGTATCCCGCACCGATTTCAATGTTGTCGAAGAAATTGAAAAAGGTATTTTGATGACATGAGCGGAAGAGTCCTTATCACTTGGTAGCTGTAATATCATCAAAGAGTTAGAGTTTTAGAGAATATAGGGGTGAAATAATGGTTGGAAATCGCCGTGCCTTTACGAACTGCAAAACGTTCACTGCAAATCCAGGTGTCCACAACGTTGGTTAGGAAGCCAGCAACATCCTTTTTTTTTTTTTTTTTTTTTTTTTTTTTTTTTTTTTTTTTTTTTTTGTTGACGTGGGGGAAATGCCTACGCATACCCGCCCTCGCGGGGGCAAGAGCGGGTTATGTCGGACTCGCACCGACTAAAACCCCCACGATGTTACACCTAGGCGCATATCGGCAGGGTCACGGGAACGCTTTCGCACACTTCCGCGACCCTGCCAGCGCTGGCCGCCTTAGCAGCCCCCTCACGGGAAGCAACTCCCCCTCTCCTCCAGGTAAGGCGCGCTGGAACATTCAGCGCGCCTTCCTACTCGGCCCCATTTTCACGGCCAACGAACTCCCCCGAGTTCGCTGACCGGGGCCTATGGGAGCCAGGAGAGCCAGTGCTAATAAGCAGCAAGCCTCCCAGCCCCCAGCGGCGGATCTGGTCTGTGGCTCCGCCGCTCACCACGTTTCGGCCGCGGAGGATAGGGAGAACGGCGCATCGCAATACCGACACTCCTCTCCCCCGCGGCCCCACCACAGCTGCATCAGCGGTGCAGCCCCGCCGAGTCGCGGAGGATAGGGAGCACGGCCAACGCAATACCGACACTCCTCTTCCCCCGCGACTCCTCCTCGGTAGCAGAAGACAGGGAGAGTGGCTCCACCTCTACCACCCTCAACCTGTCCCCTGCACCCTCCAGCACGCATCCAGAGTGGGCTCATAGAGCCCACTCGGAGCGGCCCTCTCGGGCCGGCCTTACACCACAGGCCGGCCCAGTGTGGGTTCCTCTTAGCTTCGCCGTGGGGGACCAAGCCACGGCTACTAAGCCCCTCCGCCACGTCAAGGCGGGAACCCGGTCGGAGGGGAGCCAGCAACATCCTAGCTTGGACAAATATATCGGAAGCTTCGGCCAGCCAACAATCCTTTAAATTCGATTCACGTGACCTATTCAATTCGATCTACTTGAAGACGTACAAAATGAGTAATGTTGACATTGTTGGGTTTCCAATAGTTGAAATTCATATGAAATATAGTTTAAACGTGACAAATTAATGCGTATATTATTAAATAACAGATACACCTTTACAAATGACACAAAAATGTTAAACGTGTTACCCATAAAAAATAACTTGTCATGCGGCAACAATTGTATCTTCAATCTTATAGGTTATCGCACACTGAATAACGAGTGGTAAATCCTAAAATATTAGAGTATTATTTAAGATTATGCCTCTTTACTTTTCTGAGTTAGGAAAATAAATCTAGATAGTCAGTTACATACTACAAAAGACGTGTTAAGTGGCATTGCAACAGATTAGATTCACCGCAGAAAGCTGCGAAGGCTTGGTACTTGTTGGATTCCGTTGTATATGTCAGTGCCAGGGTTTTCCTCACATAAATAAAAAAGTAATTATAAAAATTTATGTTTGCTGATAACCTAATAGCGCAAAAATTTCGACATCAGCTGTACACTTTCTTATATTTTTAGCAACGTTTGGCGCCATCTTGAACGCATAATCGCCTAGCTTACTTAGTAAAGGATCCGGGCGTGCTACTCCAATGACGCAGATTCGAATCCACAGAGTCGAACGTCCATTAATTTGCTATTCTCATCGAATTTTAAGACTGAAGTGTTATTATTATGTACTCCTTACTAATATTATAAAGGCGAAAGTTTGTATGTATGGATGGATGTTTGTCACACTTTCACGCAAATACTAATAAATGGATTTTAATGAAACTTTACAATCATACAATAAGACATAGCTTATAATTTATATACATATTTTATGTATATCTGTCTTTCTGTCTTAATGTTACACTTTCAGCCTATTCTACGTGGACGTAGTCGCGGGCAGCAACTAGTCATATACAACG